CGTTTCTGGTAATGGTTTGGTTTTGTTTTCTCTGATCAGGAAACAATCGGAGAATCGGTCTCCAACGCCTGATGATGAGGACGTGAGGGACTCTCCCGTGAGGGACGAGCTCACGCTTCGAGAAATCATTAACATCAAGGTTCTTACACGAAGTCTCTCTTTTTTAATTTGAGGTTGAATCACTGTGTTTTGGACTTTTTATGATTTAATAATAATTAATTGTGAATTAGTTGGTGGAGAGTGGAGAGAAAGAGAATCTGATGGAGCTGGTGAGAGATAGATTGGTTGAGTCTGGTTGGAAAGATGAGATGAGAATTGCTTGCAGGTTTGGTTCAGACCAATCTTTGTAGTTCGGTACATGTTGTTGTCTGATGATTCATTAGCGTCTAGTTACAGCTTTTTAAAGTGTAGCCAAATGTTCAATACTCCCTCCTTTTTATATTAAGTGATGTTTTCGGTTTTCAATGCAAAATTTATGAATTTTATTCTGTAATTTATTTTTCTATTGGATGAAATAAAGTTAGTTTTATATGTAATTATGTTTTTATATGAAAAATATGTAAAATTTATTGTTTTCTTAATCCGTGTGCCAAAATCTTAAACGAAGAAACAGAGAGAGTAACACTTTAATTATAGGGTTTAGCATACTTCTTTAGCTACATTAGGGTTTGGTTAGAGCTTTTAATGTTTAGCCAAACGTAAAACTTGTTCAAGATCACTTTAACTATAGGGTTTAGCATACTTCTTTTGTAATAATGGTGGGTATGGTTTTAAGCTATAATGTGAAGCTCTCTTCTCTGACTGCAGGGAGCATGTGAAGAAGAAAGGGAGAAAAGATGTAACAGTTGATGAGCTTATACGAGTGATCACTCCCAAAGGCAGAGGTATAAGAAAAAGATAAAAACAAACGTGAAACCAGTTTCTATACTAGCTATTAATGGACCTTCTTTCTTCGTGTATGTGCAGCTTCAGTACCAGATGATGTGAAGGAAGAGCTGTTGAACAGAATCCAGAATTTCATTCGATCAGCTGCTCTTTGATTCATCCAAGACCATATTACTACGAAGATGATGATGATGATGGTTGTGCATCTCTATATGGTGGTGGTGGCGGTTTCTACTTGTAGCCAACACTAACCAGAGAGAAATCTTCACTATGTTTAACCGATGTATCATCTTTTGATGTTGTAGAATTAGCATTCGTATTTCAACTACTTTCTGTACCAAACTCTATGTATTTTCAAATTCCAAGGAGCCCTAGAATTAACAATGAACAATGTTGAGCCAAATCCTTGAAACAATATCATTCTTTGAAGTTAAAATTTGTTGTTTTTTCTGTTACACAAGCAAACACAACACACTAGCTCATACCATTGGTCTGGCTCTATTATTTGATCTCTTAATTTCTCTCTACATAAAATCATTGTTCCAAAAGAGTTATCAAATCTCTTACAGGCACACAGACGAACTAACATATTAGACACAACAAGAACTGAAACTAGTCGCTTCGGCTGAGACTCTTCACCCTCTTGCCATAAGACGCACACACTCCTCCCTTCTTAGTAAACCATACACTTGAATTCGACTCCTTAACTAAATCCCAAAAGCTTACGCTCTTATGGTAATATGCATATATATATAAAGACGCACACACTCCTCCCTTAGCAACGTGGTATTGCAAAGGTTGAACACGGCTTATGGAGAGCCAGCTTGCTCACAGAGATCTAGCAGATCCAATGTCTGAAACAAAAGGTAACACATAATCACTTCACAGGCCCATGTACATCAACATGCAAATGTTTTCTACTTGAATCCAAACTCTAGATCAATGGGTATGTGTACGCACCTCCGGAACAGTGAGCTCAAGGCGGAACTTTGGACCATCGTAGTGGTGAAGAACAGGCCTGAAGGAATCCTCTTCCAAGGCTTTGCAGATTTTCTTCACTCTGATCCTTACCTGTTTGAGACAAAGATGTTAAATTGGTACAAAGAATCAAAATAAAGACTAAAAGATGCAAGTATTATGATCATAAGTTTCACCTGAGCTGGAAACCTAGATTCTCCTTTGCACTTTTTGTCTTCCCAAGCAGTAGCATCAATGTTAGTGCCTCCAAAAGTTGTTGCCTAAACCAAAAGAAAATAAAATTTTCGATAAAAAGTGGCTTCAGAGACATAGTTATGATATGAAGAAGCTTCGAGAACAAACCTCAAAGATACCATGCAGCTGGTGAGTGGTGTAATTGTAAAGAAACAGAGGCAAACCGGGTGTTATTGCCCGGACAGAGTCTCTGTATCTTGGAGGTAAACCTGACAAATGATACAGTATTTTAAATGAACTGCACTGAGAAAGCAAATTATGCATGTTGAAAATTTACCAAATAGGTGACGTTTCAAGTCCTCCTCCATGGTATCATTATTGCAAACAAAGATGTAGCCGCCAAGAACTTCATTCCTTGGAAGCGTCTCTGATGCAGGCAGGGTTTTAAACCTCTTGTCAACAGCATTGTCATTGTTGTGTTTGTTGCTGTTGCTCATCTCTTTGTTAGCAACAACATTGCCACTGTACTTGTTAACTTTCATGTTTCCACCACTTTTAAAATCATTCTTCTGGTAAACATCATTCATGTTGTTGTAAACATTGCTCTGCATCACATTCTTGCCCATACCTTCTTGCACATATTTGCCATCAAAGTTCAACATGTTGAAGTTAAGGTTGTTGTTCTCCTGGAAACTAAATTTCTCACTTGGTCTGAACTCAGAGTAGCTTTTGGAGAGATCAAGGTTGTTCATCCTTTCCCCTTTCATCCTAGTCTGCTCAGCGAGCTTGGTTGCAACAGTGGACCATTTGTGATCCTCTGATGCTCTTGACTGACCTCTGAGCTCATCACCTAGTTGCCAGAAGCTCTCCATAGTTCCAAAATCTAGCTGAAGCAATACAAAAAAGACAGATTAAAGTTAAAACTCATTCATTACACAAGGAAAAACTGGTCTACAACAATACCATAAACACTAAAGTTTTTATCTTTTTTGTTGTTTCAATCATTTCACAGATTAAAAAACAATCAAAACGAAGCTACTCCATAACAAATTGAATCCCAAACCCTAGTCAACCAATAAACACAGCAAATTTGCGTCAAATTTAGAAACTGTCCTTAAACACTAAAGTTTTAAGGCAATTATCTCAAATAGTCATTTTTAAAAAATTTATCACAAAAATAGATCTCAAAAATTAAAATAACCAAAATAACATTTTTTATTTTGAAAATGTTAAGTTTTTCTTTTCACTTTTTAAAATTTGAAACCATATCCCAAAACTCCACTATTCAGCTCTAAACGAAAAAGTCTAGGATTAATTAAAATATATGTTATTTTGGTCATTTTAATTGTTAAAGTCTATATTTGCGACAAGAAAATTTTAGGTTTATTTTAGTCATTTTCTTTTGTTTTTTTTTTTTTGTTGTTTCAATCATTTCACAGATAAAAAAAACAATCAAAACGAAGCTACTCCATAACAAATTGAATCTCAAACCCTAATCAACCAATAAACACGCAAATTTGCGTCAAATTTAGAAACTTTCCGAAAACCCATCATCGAAATTGAGAAACCCTATTCTCAAAATTGATCGAAAGGACCCAGAGATTTCGGATGAGAATCTAAATGGATAAACATCAAAAATCGAAAAAAAGACACTAGATTTACGGACAGAGCTTAGAGAGAAAGAGAAGACAGACCCTTTTGCTCTCCTCTTTTCCTCGAAATCCGATGGACGTCAGAGAAATTGAGAGAAGAAATGGTCCTTCAATGGTGGATCTGTAGAATTTATCAGACTTACTCTGACCAGATAGCCCTTCATTTTCTCCATTAATTACGTTATTTTGCCATTACCGTACGAAACACGCGTCATAGCTTCAGTAGCTCTTAAGTTTGAAAGTTTGGATTCATGTGTTCCACAAGAGCTGACTCGTTCTCCACCGTTCGATTCAGTTGACAAATATCTAAATTATAATCAAACACATGTTTGGTATGAACTGTGAAGTGTATCCACCGTCCAATTCAGTTGACAAATATTTTTGATTATCGAAATTATAATCAACACATGTTTGATTATCCGTCCGTGTGATGTTAGTTAGAATTTGGTAACAAAATTATCCAACTCGTTATCTAAATTATCCGTAGTTTTGCATATATGTTTTAAGTAAGTAGTTTTAATTCTTGAACGGCTGGTATGCATTATTAATTGAACGCTACACTTCAAATGCAATAAGCTGTCTCCGCCACTGGAATAATCCATCATCCCCTACAATACCATTCCAGTTCGATCTTGTCTGAAAGTTTTCCCTGTTACAATTCTTGTCGAATATCCGCCACTAAAAGTTGCTCATCAACTTCCATTATCCAAAGACAACTTCTACCATTCCTATTCCCTATGACAATGCCACGGCAAAGAAGTCTATTGGTCTCAGTAATGGGCCTTAGGTCTCGATGGACTCTTGCTAGATCGAATTTGTTTTATTCAGGCTTGAAAACGTAAATCACAGACGTTTGCGTCATTTGGGCTTATGGTAACCCACTAGAGTTTCCTCGAAATGTCATTTTTGTCCTTTGCCTTAGCAGGTGAATTTATTAAATATTGGCGCCAACTTACTGTTTTCCTTCACTTAGCAGGATAATCGTAAATGATAATTAAATGAATAATTATAATCTCCTTGACTCAAGGTTTTATGCCACTCAACTCATACTCCATTAGATATATTTAAGCATCCTCAAATCTACAATGACGTAATTAATAAATAAATTCTTACAAATTATTTAAATGTTTGTGATAAGGGGTGTTTTGGTCATTTGCTAATTATTAGTGGGGTTGGCAAAAAAAGAAAAAGATTATTATTGGTGTCATTCTAATTTAGTTCTCTGACATAATATATCAGAAGATAGTGTTTTGTTTTTGTGTGTTGCAATGGCGTCGCTGCAAAGCTCAGGGATGTTGACGAAAGAGCAGATGGTTTATCTCTTTGATCGATTCGATTACTTGACCTCTCAATCTGGTAACTGACTCTCTTTTTTTTCTTTTTAAGGTTTCTGAATCCGTACATCGATTGGTTAACTTAATTATTCATCTGATAAATATAATCTCAGATGTGAAGAAAAGAATCTCAGACGCCGTTGAGGATAAACAGGTGAATGTTCTCTCTTGTTTTGCAATACATTATTAGTTACTGAGTATTGTTGGTAGACTAATGTCATTTTCAAATAAATATGAGATTATAATTTATGATAAATGTGTGTGTTTTTTTTTTTTGCAGTTAAAGACTATTCTTGTTAGGCTAATGTAATGTGGTTTAATTAAGTATTGGTGTTTCTGAGAATTCACAGTTCTCCAAATCAAATTTATGGATTTTTTTGTAAAGAAATTATTGATCACTGAAGAGGACTAGATTCATTCTTGAGAAGATAGAAAACGAATTTGCATTGATTAAGTGGAAATGAAATAATATACGTACTTTGTAGTTAATTGTTTTTTTTTGGTAGAGATTATGTAATGAGACTGTGACATGACAAGTGTGTGTTTTGCAGATAATATCCATGTTTGTAGACTTATGCGGTTTTAAGTTTTGTTGATTCTGAGAATTCACTGTTCTCTGATATCAGGTTTATGGATTTTTAGAAAAATTTGACCACTGAAGGGGATCGGATTAATTGTGAAAAAAGATTAGTTTTTGATATACCTTAATGGTGTATATAAGCAGAGTAGTTTACATCGATTAATGTAACTTGAAACTATGCTTATAACATCTGTTTTCATTGTGTTGATGATTTATCCAATGCAGGAAGCTGTAGCTGTTACAACTGCAATTCAAGAGGAGATATTCTTGGAGATGGGAATTGGTGAAGTTGTCTTTTTAACTTCATTGGTTAATTTATTTTCCAAGTTTCTCAATGAAGGTTTATTATTGGTTTATAAGCAGACCCAGGATTTGGTATTGGATGCTTGGGAAAGCTGAACTCTGCGTTTGAAAACGATAAAGATTTGATGATTGGTTTCTACAAGTTTCTCGCTAAGTAAGCTCTCCTCTTTTTCTCTCTTCTAGTCAAGAGAGTAACTGATAACTGTCTTTCTCATGAAGTTGTTTCCTCTACTTTTATAGACTAGGACTTGTAATCAAGTTGTTAATCTTTTTTTTTTTATATATTCTTAAGAAATATGATTATGAGAGCTAACACATTAGTTAATAGGGAGGAGATGGCATGTGAAGAAGCTGAGCTTGGACCAGATGGATTTGAACAGAAGATGGAAGCACAACGACAATTACAAGAACAGGTAATGACAGCTTTGCTGTTAAATTACTTGCAAGAACAGAACATGATTTGGTGTCTAAATATTCAAATGTGCTTAGTGCAGCAACTAGAGATGTTAAAGTATATGCGTAAGTTCCCTCTGGATGACCAATCTGCTATTCTTAAAAAGGTAAACCAAAAAAAATTGTCTTTACTATGCCTTTAACTCATTAAAAAAGGACTGACTTTTGGTTGTGTTTTACTTATTTAGCTTCAGTTTAACCTCTAAAAGATCCTAAATTGATCTAGCATTCCATGAATATTTTTGTTTCTGTTTCCAACAGCTTCAGAAGCAACTAGAGAATGCGGATTTTGAGCCAGAGGCATCACTTATGTCAGCAGAGGAATTGGGGGAAGCTGGAAGAAGAAGAGTTTCACCAGTTTTTGGAAGCAGATAAGCTTCTTGTTTCTCACAGACCACTCGAATCTATATACTGTGTCTCTTTCTCTCTTTTCACCTCCATTGACGCCAAATGTAAAACAAAAAAATGTGGTTAAACTTTTCAATTGCATGAGAAAATGTAAAACAAAATATGTAAGGTCTCTTGCAACAGTTACTCACTCGTATTTAGTTGATAGGCCAAGAGAAGTCCAATCATTTGTGACCATTCTCGCGACCAGGTGGTTTGGGATTCGGTGCCTTATGTAAGCCATCTACTTCTTATCAGCCTTCTAATTTTATTGCAGCCTATGTTTAGTAACATTCCCAATGCAAAGAACAACAAGTTGATATGGCCGAGTTGGTCTAAGGCGCAGGATTAAGGTTCCTGTCCGAAAGGGCGTGGGTTCAAATCCCACTGTCAACAATACTTTTTTGCTTTCTGTGCTTTCATTACGTTGACATGACATTTGTATGTCCCTCGCTCGTTTTAGCGATGAGGTAAACGAGAAATTTCTTTCTTTGCCTTCTTTTATTCATTTCCCTTTGGAGGTCGTGACTAGTTGCCCATTTGATTTCGTTTCGGGTGATTTAAATTTTCGGTATTATGCTTATAAGTACCATTCGGTTTTTACTAATTATTATGTCAGGTTCGGTTCGATTCCTTCCGGATCCGTTTTAGATCGGATCTAACCAACGTATAAAATCGTCCAAAAATATATTTTCAAAAACTTCAAAAATTACAAAAAAATTCAAAATACATAAATTATTTAGAAATCTAATTAAAAATTAGTTAAACTATCTAAATAAACTAAAAAGTATTCAAAATACCAAATAAATCAAACAACAAAAATATTTTAAATACTCTAAAATATCTAAATCACCTTAACATATATAAAACATTAGTATATTTAACTAATTTTGGATATTTTCGGATACTAATTCGAATTTCGGTTCGGTTCGGGTTATAACCAAAAAAAAAAGGTAAGCTTATAAGTCTCGTTTGAGAGACTTAAACCAAATGACATATTTTTGTGTTAAATCTAATATACGCTTAGCACTTAAACCAAATGAAATGATTTTTTTTAACAATCATAATCAACAATAACCTAGGCTAGGCTAGAGTCCATCTTAAAAATTTAGGGGTTCTATGCAAAATAAAATTGTTTATAAAAGAATTATTTATCCTGTTTTGAAAACATTTTTATTAATTTCTGTTTATATATTAATTTTAATTGAATTGTTTGATTTCTATAAAACTATAATTATTATAAATTTTAATAACATAATGTTTTTCTTTTGTTTAGATTTTATTATGACATGTATTGATTTTAGTAACATAAAATAAAATTGATTCAAGAGATCTCCGACGCGCCTTATTATATTTTACAAAATTAAAAGAAAAGGAAATAAATCCGCCAAGTAATAAAAGTACAGTATAAAACCCTAGAGTATGTCTAAATAATAATAAGAAAAGGTCGAGAGAACAACACAGCCTACAATGGAGCAACAACAACCGACGTCACGTTCTTGGTTTCCTTCCGATCTAACCATAGAGATACTCTTACGCCTGCCTGCAAAATCTGTTGGGAGGTTTCGTTGCGTGTCAAAGCTTTGGTTATCAATCACAACCGATCCATTTTTCATCAAGACGTTCGGAGCCACACGTCCAAGTGTTCTACTCTGCTCAATAAAAAATCACAATTTATTTGTTACCTCTACTCCACATCATACTCATGATCAGAGTTGTATTCATCGTTATCCTATGAAATTTCCAGGATGCTTCTCTAGTATGGATTCTGTCCACGGTTTGATCTGCATTGAAGATACCACAAAGCCCCTGGTTTGGAACCCTACCATTGGACAGTTCTTACCTTTACCCACACCTAATATGAGATCAAGAAACTTAAACATGATTTTAGGATACGATTCTTTTGAAGGTAAACACAAAGTAGTGTGCCTTCCTTATATAAATGGTTGCTACTTCTGCCGAGTTTTTACATTGGGATCCGGGCAAGAATCATGGAGAACCGTTAGAACTAAGCTGAAGCATAAGCTTCGTGGCAATGCTTCTGGTCAATGCATCAAGGGGGTGATATACTATCTGGCTTATAATCCAAATAATGATAGGGTTATAATGAGCTTTGACGCAGATCTGAAATATTCCGTTGGATAGAGTTACCCTCAGGTATCCATGAGGATGTGTTGATATCTTATGAGGGGGGATTAGGTTGTATTGATGGAGATAATAAAACAAGATTGTGGATTTTGGAGGATGCAGATAAACACAAGTGGTCGTTTCAGGACTTTCTTGTACCTTTGCATAAGTGGACTGTGGATGTTTCGAGTGAAGGATGTAACTATCTATTCCCTTTCAAACTAAAAGGTTGCACTCATGCTGGCGAGTTTATTTATGTACCTTACAGATTCCAAAAATCATCGTCTTTTATTGTGTTCTACGATCCGGTGAGAAACAGTTGTAGAAGACTCAAATTTAAAGGAATCGTGGATGGGCTCAATATGCATGTTTTCCCGAATCACATTGAAACTCTTATGTCTTTGTAACAATTTTTTTTGTTGCTTAGACCAAAAAGAAAAAAAAAACAATTTGTTGTTGCTTTTTTATATTGGTTATTCTTTTGTAAAATATTTTATATTTTGTTGCTTCTTGTTTCTCACAGGCCATTTCTATTTGTAAACTGAGTCTCTTTCTCTCTTTTCACCTTCTTACATACTTTCACCTCTTTAGACGCAAACTTAAAACATAAAAACGTGGTTAAACTTTTCACTTGCATGAGATATGTAAAACAAAATATGTGAGGTCTCATGCACAGTTGCTAGATCGTATGTAGTTGATAGGCCTAGAGAAATCCAATCATTTGTGACCATTCTCTTTACTGTGGTTTGTTATTCGGTGCCTTATGCAAGCCATCCTACTTCTTATCAATCACATGGACGCCAAACCATTATGCTCTATCTCCCAAGTCCTTCGATAGAAGTGTAATGTTTAAAAAGCCTCTCTGTAACTAATAAAAAGTTGATATGGCCGAGTTGGTCGCAGGATTAAGGTTCCTGTCCGAAAGGGAGTGGGTTCACATGCCACTGTCAACATAACTTTTTGGCCGTAGCTTTCAATATGCTGACGTGTCATAGTACGTCACTGGCTCGTTCTAGTGATGTGGCTGACTAGGGCTGGCCAAAAAAACTGAACCAGAACCGATCTGAACCCGACATAAGTACCGAATGGATCTTGTTTTACGGTATTTCGGGTTATGGGTTTATCGAACCGAATCCGAACTTAAATGGAAATCCGAAAGAACCCGAAAATTTAAAATTTCAAAACAAATTGTACCATATCCAATCTCAAATTCTAATATGTTTCTAAAACACATTAAGATATTATTGAGTACCTACAATAATAATTAACTCAAATACTTAGTGTAATATATAGTTTTATTTGGTTAATATTAATGTATGTTTGACATTACATTTGAAATTTAGTTACGAAGAAATTTGTTTTGAAGTTTAAATAGTGTTAACTTTTTTTTTTAAAGTTTAAATAGTATTTCTAACGTTTATAGAATTCTTAGTTGTTAACTTTACTTTTTTTTCTTTAATTATGTAGGATTTTCGTTCATTAAAGATTTTGGTTTGTCATTAATCATGATATGTTAGTGTTGTCATGTATAGTTCAAAGACAAATCTTATAAGGTTGATAGACGAGTTTAATAATATTATTTTGAAGGACAATATTATAGTTTGAATAAGCTAAATACAAAATTTATTAAAACGATTGAAAATATATTGAGTTTAATCGAATATAAATTAGTATTTTTAGAACTAATAACCCGATGAGTATCTGAAACCGAAACTATTTCAGGTTCAACCGGATCTTTGAAATATTACTAAACCCGAATCAAACCCGAGATAACCCAAACCGAATCCGATCCGCATTTTTATAACATCCGAATGGGGCTGAAATTTTTGAATTCGAAAATCCAAAATCCGAATGAACCCAAACCGAAACCCGATTGAGACCCCAATTGCCCAGCCCTATGGCAGATTAAAACTTTTTGTTCGTCGCCTTTTCTATCCTCTTTCCCTTGGGAGGTAGTGAACTAGTGAGAGCTTGAAGCTTTGAATCTCAAAAATATAAATTCTGATAAATATATGAACCATTTTCGCAGTTTTGTGTTAAATTAAATCTAGTACACGCTTAGCACTTAAACCAAATTAAATGAATTGTTTAAAAATCATAATTAACCGTAGGCTAGGCCAGAGACCGTTTTGAAAATTTTGGAGGGGGGGGGGGGGTTCTATGCAAAATAGAAGAAGTCATAGCTAGGTTTGAACCATAACGTCCAACATAAGTGCTTCCATTGGTCTGATTCGTATCTGAAGGAGGCATCAAAGGCTTAGGATTAGGTATGGGCGTTTTTACCCCAAACCGAAGAACTTACCTTAACCCTGAACAAAAGAAATTGAATCAAATCCTCGAACGAGACTTAAAAACTTGGTACTTTAGGTTAATTTTTTTTTTAGATATGTTAAAGTAATTTAAGATATTTTGATTATTCTAAAGATTTTTATAGTTTATTTTATTTTATTTTATTTTGAGTAATATTAAATTAGTTTAACTAGTTTTTCATTAAATTTATAAATAATTTATAATTTGAGTATTTTTGTGAGTTTTAAAGTTTAAAAAAAAATATTTTTAGATAATTTTATATATTGGTTATAATCCGATCTGAAACTAAAAATAATTGAACCTAATCCGATCCAAAAATTAATAAAATCCTCACAAAATTTATGAGCAAAATACCAAAAATCTGAATCAACCGAATCAAATCGGATGGGCTGTACTTAGGACCACATGTGTTGTTTCCTGTTCTTGTTCCCAAGGTTTAAGAGGCCGTCCACCTCATGGCTGAGACATCACCGTAACCTTAGACGCTTCAAGAGCCACCTCAAGCCCTTTTTCTAAATTATTTATCAATTAAATTTTACTAAACTAAAAAAAAAAGAAAGTATATAATTCCGCTAAGTAAAACCCTTCAGCCTAGGGGATGTATAAAATAAAATAATAACTAGATTTTGACCCGCGCTTGAAAAACGCGGAAATTTTTTAGGATTAAAAGTTTATATAATTGAGTTTTGTAGTATGTTTTTGTATAAAATCAGTAATCCAAAATTTGTGGTGATGATTATTTTGTATTAGTTTTTAGTTTCAGTTTTTATTTTTAGATTTGGTTTTAGATTTTGGTTTTTGGTTTTTAAGTTTCTATTTTTGATTTTCAGCTTTTAGTTTGGGTTTTTAGCTTTTAGATCCGTTGAGTTAGTTTGAACTCATAATTACCAACAAACAAATTCCAAAGAATCGAACATCTAATTTAAAACTGAAAAGATGACAATTTTTTAAAAAAAAAATTGCAATAGTTTATTTTGTAAATAAAAAAAAAGCAAAAATATAACATGCGTTTTCAGCTTTTGTTTTTGGATTTTAATTTTTAGATTTGGTTTTTAGTTTTGCTTTACATTTTTTTTTAAATCAGTAAATTATTTACGAAAAATAAAAATAAACTATTTAAAAGTTACCATTGAAATTTATCAAGACAGAATATTGTTATTCAAAAAAAAAATATTAACATGTTTTAAAGTACATGATTTAAATAAGTGATTAGTAATAGATAATTTTGTTTTGTTAAAAATATTAAATACTTTTGCGCCTGAAAATAGTAATTGATTTTTGGTGAAAAGTTTATTCAATGTTTTTTGGAATTTTTCTTTAATAGCCCAAAAACCAAACTATATAATTTGTCGTAAAAATAAAAGTAAGCCCAAAAGTCTATTCCATAAATAACCGCCGGTTTAATTTAAGTAATGCGGTTCAATCAATTATATAACTTGTATTATTTGTAACACTCTAGAAAAGGTTCAAATTTAAATGACAACTTGTATAAATAGATAAAATTAATGACTCTATTTTAATAGAGTAGATAAGAAAAGGTCGAGAACTAACACAGCCGACAAACACTGGAGTTTAGAGTCTTGACCTAATTAAGATGGAGCAACGACAACAAAGGTCACGTTCTTCGTTTTCTTATGATCTAACCTCAGAGATACTCTTACGTCTACCTGCCAAATCCGTTGGGAGGTTTCGTTGCGTGTCAAAGCTTTGGTTATCAATCACAACCGATCCATTTTTCATCAAGACGTTCGGAGCCACACGTCCAAGTGTTCTACTCTGCTCAATAGAGAGTCACAATTTGTTTGTTACCTCTACTCATACTCATGATCAGAGTTCAATCAGGTCCTACTCTTCTTCTCAGCGTATTCATCCTTATCCTATGAAATTTCCAGGATGCTTCTCTAGTATGGATTCTGTCCACCGTTTGATCTGCATTGAAGATACCACAAAGCCCCTGGTTTGGAACCCTACCACTGGACAGTTCTTACCTTTACCCACACCTAATATGAGCTCAAGATCTTTTGACATGTTTTTAGGATACGATTCTTTTGAAGGTAAACACAAAGTAGTGTGCCTTCCTTATATAAAAACTTGCTACTTCTGCCAAGTTTTTACATTGGGATCCGGGCAAGAATCATGGAAAACCGTTAGAACTAAGCTGAAGCATAGGCATCGTGGCCATGCTTTTGGTCAATCCATCAATGGGGTGATATATTATCTGGCTTATAATACAAATAATGATAGGGTTATAATGAGCTTTGATGTCAGATCCGAAATATTCCGTATGCTAGACCTACCCTCAAGTATTCATTATAGGGGTGTGCTGATATCTTACGAAGGAAGATTAGGTTGTATTGATGGAGATAATAAAACAAGATTGTGGATTTTGGAGGATGCTGATAAACATAAGTGGTTGTTTCAAGATTTTCGTGTACCTTTGCATATGTGGACTCTGAATCTAATTTCGAGTGAAGAAAATAACTATTTTCAAGATTTTTATAACCGTTTTGAACTAAAAGGTTGCACTCATGCTGGTGAGTTTATTTATGTGCCTTCCAGGTTCCACAAATCATCGTCTTTTATTGTGTTCTACGATCCGGTGAGAAACAGTTGTAGAAGACTCAAATTTGAAGGAAGCGTGGATGAGCTCAATATGCATGTCTTCCCGAATCACATTGAAACTCTTATGTCTTTGTAACAATTTTTTGTTGCTTAGACCAAAAAACAATTTGTCGTTCCTTTTTTTCTTTTTTTAAAACACTTCATTTTTTTATATTGGTATTCTTTGTAAAACATTTAATAAAACATGAGTTGCAACATTACAAACTGCGTCTCAGATAAAATAGCATCAGATACTGTAGTTTATTTTCGATTGTCAAATGATCTGTAGATCACATTCTAAGGGATATTGGATGATATAGAAGAAACAAGAAGTGAATTATTTACATTGTTTAGTTCATCCATTCCCGGGGGCAGAGTTGTTAGGCGCAGTCATTGGTAATAAAACAGACCATAAAATAAAGTGGACTGCGACGACTGCTTTGTATATCTGTTTCCTTTAACTAACAAAACAAACCGTAAAAGAAAAGAGACCTTATGTCGTCAGTAGAGTAGAGAAAGCAAAAGAAGTTGTGAAAAACTAAAGGGGACGTGTTACTATTATATGGTAGATTTACTTAGGGGTTTTAGTTGATTAGGGTTTCTGTTAGAGAATATTTAGAGTATATAACATGGTATATACTATTTTACTTAATCATTGTCGATTTTGAACTCAGAATTATGTAAAACCAACTTGGTTTGATTATCAACAGCATAGCGACGCTTTGATCGCCTCAGTGTATACAGGTAAAGCGAGCAAAGGCGGTCAACATGTGTACCTCGCATAGCAATGAGGTCTTGAGTCGTTCTGGAGGTTGCCTCAGGTCGCCTCTCGCCATGGCGAGCAATGCGGTCGCCATTTAAAACCAAGATCACACATCATTCTCACTTTACATTTTTTTTTTTTGAAAAAGGGGCATTCAAAGACATAAACATACAAGGTATGGTGTCACAACCATGAAGTTTTAGAAAGTACAAGACTCATATTTAGCCAAGCAATAGCTTAGAAAAAAGAAAAACTGTTTATGTTAAAAAGAAACTGATTATGTTACACCTTACTCTTACTATATAGTAAAGTCTAATCTCGGTTCACATCATACCGAGATCATTTACATTCTAACACTAAACCAATCCTAACTCATTTTATGTACATTAGAAACTTATACTCCCTCCGTTTCAGAATATATGTCATTCTAGACTTATTTTTTGGTCACAACTTAAGTATCGTTTTAAAGTTTCGAAGCAAAATTTATTAGTTTTATATAATATTTTATTTTTCTATTGGTTAAAAAGTGGTTAGGTGTATAGTTAATTGTGTTTTTATCTTGAAAATATGTAAAATTAAATATTTCCTTAATCTGTATGCAAAAACCTAGAATGACAAATAAAGTGAAACGGAGGTAGTAATACATAAGCTTAGTGAAACAAGACAAGAAAGAGAAAACACTACGAACTCATTTTACATTTTCCCCTTATATAAATACACACATTCTTATGCATTTACGTCACTCAACTTCTCAAGAAATTCATACCACCTTGCATCCCGCGGAGAAAAGATATCCAGAAGCCTGGTGTTGAACCATATAATCCACACCCATACCTAGAGTTCATACCTAGGTTTGAACCATAAGTGCTTCCATAGGTCTGATGCTCCCAGGGTCTGTTGGAAATGTCCTAAAATCATTTGTACTTATTCTTGTTAAAGTCGTAACGTCGAGGTTCGACAATCGTATAAAATTAGGTGGTTATTATGTTTTGCTAGAAACCGCTTAAAATTAGGTGGTTATAATGTTTTGCTAAAAACCCTAAAATTAGGTGGTTATAATGTTTTAAATTCTTACAGGGTCTAGTAGGTACAACAGGCCTACTCAGTGCATTCATATCAGCAGCTGTTTTTGTCCTGTTAACAGGCGAAACTTGTTCACCAAGATTAACTGTGTCAGAAGCGCTCGTATTAGATGGCTGAGTACGCCCCCATAACCGAGATGATCCAAGACCTCTCCCACGCGGCCTACCTCAACCCCTTCTCTAAATTATTTATCAATTAAATTTTACAAAAAAAAAAGGAAATCATGAGAAAATGACTAGAATAGACCTAAAATTTTTTTATCACAAATATACACCTTAACCATTAAAATGACCAAAATAGCACTTAAATATTTTATTAAGTGGGGTTTTGGAGATAGAGTTTCGAATTTAAAAAAAATTTAAAAAAACTTAAAATTTTCAAAATAAAAATTTGAAAGAGAGCTATTTAAGAAAATTGCCCGGAAATCAATTCAAAAAGTAAAACCCTAGAGTGCATAGAGCGTACGTGTATAAATATTAAAATAATAATAAGAGAAGGTCGAGAGAGAACGACGCAGCCTACAAAAATTAGAGTTTTGAGTTTTGATCTAATTAAGATGGAGCAACAACAACAACCGACGTGGTCACGTTCTTGGTTTCCTTCCGATCTAACCACAGAGATACTCTTACGCCTGCCAGCAAAATCCATTGTGAGGTTTCGTTGCGTGTCCAAGCTTTGGTTATCAATCACCACCGATCCACGTTTCATCAAGTCGTTCGAAACCACACGTCCAAGTCTTCTTCTCTGCTCAATAAAAAGTCGCAATTTATCTGTTACCTCGACTCCTCATTCAATAACGTCTTACTCTTCTTTTCAGCCTATTAAAAATTATCCTATGAAATGGCCAGGAGAACATTGTTACTTCTCCACTATGGATTCCGTGCACGGCTTGATCTGCATTGAAGATTTAAACTCCAATACGCCCCTAGTTTGGAATCCTAGCACGGGTCAATTATTACTTTTACCCAAACCACCCAATATGAACTCTAAATATATAAACGTGTTTTTAGGATACGATCCTGTCCAAGGTAAACACAAAGTAGTGTGCCTTCCTTATGAAAAAACTAGCCACTTCTTCCGAGTTTTTACATTGAGATCAGGGCAAGAATCATGGAGGACAGTCGGAACTCACAACTTGAAGCATAAATGTCGTGGCTATGGTTCTGACCGATGCATCAATGGGGTGATATATTATCTAGCCAGTGGTCAAGGGTATAATACGTTTATAATGAGCTTTAATGTCAGATTTGAAATATTCAGTATGATAGAACTACCCTCAGGTAACTTTCAAGATGTGCTGATATCTTACAAGGGGAAATTAGCTTGTGTTGATAGATATAATGAAACAAGATTGTTGATTTTGGAGGATGCATATAAACACAAGTGGTCTTTTCAGAACTTTCTCTTTCCTTTATATATGTGGAATCTGAAGGATTCGAGTGAAGAACCTAACCTTTTCAAACTAAAAGGTTGCACTTATGATGGTGAGTTTATTTATGTACCTTACGGGGACCATAATAACCGGTCTTATATTATATTCTACGATCCGGTGAGAAACAGTTGTAGAAGACTCAAGTTTGAAGGACTAGTGGACGAAGAAAAATTTGGGTTCAAGCTTCATGTTTTTCCGAATCACATTGAAAGTATTGTTTCTTTGTAACAGTTTGTTGTTGCTCTAAAAATATCACATTGTGCTCCACTCAACTCGAGATCAAGCCTCTAAACTGTGTTGTTTTTTTTTTTGTCAAAAGAAAAAAACAGTTTGTTGTTGCTCTTTTATCAGTTTATTTTCATAGTTTGGTTGGGCAGTCATTGGTAATAAGGCAGACCATAAAATAAAGTGGACGTACGACCGCTTTGTATTATCTGTTTCTTTGATCCAAAGCAAATCCCACGTGACATCACATTCTAATAAAACGTGCAATGTGAATCCCTCGATACCTCTCACAACACTTGATGGCGATCACAATCTCTTGAAACCACTTTAAATCTTTTTCCATGTCACAAAGCACTCTTTCTTCCGACACTAACCAATGGATTATCACTCTATTCCCTCCAAGAAAAGGAATCCTAATCTTCTGTTCTCAGCTCCTATTATCAACCAACTCTACATTTCCCGGTCACATAAATACACACATTCTTATGTGCCTTTTGCGTTGATCAACTTTCTCTCCATGATGGCAAGATCTATAGATAGTTACCAAGAGAGGAGCTAGATCGAGAAAGATGTCTGATTGGGGACCCGTTTTTGTGGCGGTGACGCTTTTCGTGTTATTAAGGACCTGATTACAACGCAGCGATCGCGGGCGTTTGCGGATGCGGGAGATTGCAGTTTTAAGCGTTAGTAAGAGATTTATAAGATTGATTCAACGGTTAAAAAATGTTGCGTTTGCGGGATACTTATGACTGGTTTATCATCAAATATAAATATTTCAGTATTTTCATTATTTTAATTAAATAATTTAATTGAATATTTTATTTTTATATTTTTGGAAAAGAAAAAAAATTATTCTCCCGCAATCGTCCGCAACCGCAAACAATAGCTGGAACCAGCTTTTGAATTTTAGAGATTCAAAACGATTTGAAGCGGTTTATAGCGTTTTCTGTGATTGTTTCAAAACGCTAACAACCGCTACCAACCGCAAAAGCTACGTTTGCGGGTGATGGCGGGAAAACCAGTCAGGCACTAAATGACTGCTGTTTTGAAAATAATATTTTTAACCATATATAAATAATTCTTGTATTTATATTAATAATATATATAATAATAATATATATATTTCCTCACATAACTATGTTCGCATGTGCAAACAAATACCTAGTTATTTTATAGATTATGGATATATTAACATTCAATAAGACATCATCAGATTTTATTTACTAGTTTAAAACAAAAATATAATAAATAATTGAACAAATCTTCTAAATAGTCTATTTTCAAAGTTATTGTTCCCTAAAAAGCACCCAAAAATGAAAGTAATTAAGTTTCATTAAAAATTTAAATAATAATTCAAAATAATAGGAACGAAAATATTTTTGATTTTTGTTTTTTTTTTTGATAATTTGTTTTCCAAAAAGATCTTTTTACATTAAAAAAAAAACAAATTTTCTTTAAATTTTTTATGAAAAACTTTTTGAACGTATCTTCATGAATTTGTTAAAAAAAATCACAAATTTAGAAATGATTTTATAAGTAAAAAATAGACATCTTGATTATAACTTGTATGAATATTTAGGAAATTCTTCATAAATATGTATGTTAGCTTAAATAATTAAGATAATATTATTAAATATATTAATATCTAAAAAAAATTACAAAGAAGCTTTTAAATATGTATAATACCTTTACAAACTTTAGATATCAAACTCATGAAAGTCTTTCGAACACTTCAAGAAAATGATATACATACTTAAGAATGTTTTATTAAATATACATATAATTCAAATTGGGTAAAATATTCATAATTATATATTCATGATGATCTTCCTAAATTCATATTTAATAATTTATTTAAATATATATATATATATATTAAATTTTTAAAATTTATGATGATATTATTCATATTTATTAATATTTTATTTTACTAAACTTTGTATTGATATTATACTTAGTTAGGAAGATATTCATACACTAAAATTGATAAAGATATTGTGGGTGGTTGTTGGCTTTATCTCTATTCTTTAACTTTATTTATTTCTAATCATCAAACTTACCAATTGCAATGTAGTTTTATATTAAAAGTTAAAATGTATATTAAATTTTTATTGATTTTTACCAATATGATCATTTAGTGTTTTTTATAGATACAAAAAGTTAAATTTTCATGCATTTTAAGAAAATAAGCAATTTTATTATTTGAACTATAGAATTTGTAAAATGGAAACATATCTATAATATCAAATAAATAAGATACTTGTAGATCAAATTTACTAAAATTAATTTAAATATTATTTTACTGTAAAACTTTTATTTAATTTTAAATAATATTTTAAATCATTTATTTTAAAAGTTAAAATGTATATTAAATTTTTATTGATTTTTACCAATATGATCATTTAGTGTTTTTTATAGATACAAAAAGTTAAATTTTCATGCATTTTAAGAAAATAAGCAATTTTATTATTTGAACTATAGAATTTGTAAAATGGAAACATATCTATAATATCAAATAAATAAGATATTTGTAGATCAAATTTACCAAAATTAATTTAAATATTATTTTACTGTAAAACTTTTATTTAATTTTAAATAATATTTTAAATCATTTAATTTTTAAATAATATAAATATTATTTATTATACATTATATAATAGTTTATTTTTATAATGTATGATTTATTTATTAATATAACTTATTTTAATTGAAAATGATATATATTATATATTACACATATTTCAGATATTTTATTTAAAAATATTTACAGCTAAAAACTTACATTTACAACCAATTAACTACACCAAAATAAATAAAAAATTAGCACATTTTTAGAGCAACTTTGAGGATAAAAACTTTGAGGATTTATTCCAAGATATGGTTTTAAATTTTTAATCACTTAAATATACAAAATTAAAAGAAAAGGAAATGAATCTGCGAAGTAAAACCTAGGGAATAGGGAATCTGTATAAATAAATAATAATAAGAGAAGGTTGAGAACAACAGAAATTAGAGTATTGATCTAACCAAGATGGAGGAACAACCGACATCAGGTTCTTCGTTTCCTAGTGATCTAACCACAGAGATACTCTTACGGCTGCCTGCAAAATCCGTTGGGAGGTTTCGTTGTGTGTCGAAGCTTTGGTTATCAATCAGCACCGATCAATATTTCATCAAGTCTTTCGGAGCTACAAGGCCAAGTGTTCTACTCTGCTCAATAAACAGTCACAATTTGTTTGTTGCCTCGACTAGTCATCAGAGTTTAATCAGGTCTTACTCTATTTCTCAGCCTATTCATCGTTATCCTATGAAATTTCCAGGAGAGCATTGTTACTTCTTCGATATGGATTCTGTGCACGGCTTGATCTGCATCATAGATGCAAAATCCAAAATGCCCCTAGTTTTGAACCCTAGCATGAATCAATTGTTACTTTTACCCAAACCCAATATGAGCTCGAGACATGCACACGTGTTTTTAGGATACGATTTAATCGAAGGCAAACACAAAGTAATGTGCCTTCCTAATAAAAAAACATGCTACGTTTGCCGAATTTTTACTTTGGGATCCGGGCAAGAATCATGGAGAACCGTTAGAACTAAGCTGAAGCATAGTCTTCGTGGCGATGCTTCTGGTCAATGCATCAATGGGGTGATATACTATCTGGCTTATAATCCAAATTATGATAGGGTTATAATGAGCTTTGATGTCAGATCCGAAATATTCCGTATGCTAGAACTACCCTCAAGTATTCATTATAGGGGTGTGCTGATATCTTACGAAGGAAGATTAGGTTGTATTGACGGAGATAATAATACAAGATTGTGGATTTTGGAGGATGCTGATAAACATAAGTGGTTGTTTCAAGATTTTCGCGTACCTTTGCATATGTGGACTCTGAATCTTTCGAGTGAAGAAAATAACTATTTTCAAGATTTTTATAACCGTTTTGAACTAAAAGGTTGCACTCATGCTGGTGAGTTTATTTATGTGCCTTCCTGGTTCCACAAATCAGCGTCTTTTATTGTGTTCTACGATCCCGTGAGAAACAGTTGTAGAAGACTCAAATTTAAAGGAAGTGTGGATGAGCTCAATATGCATGTCTTCCCGAATCACATTGAAACTCTTATGTCTTTGTAACAATTTTTTGTTGCTTAGACCAAAAAAACAATTTGATGTTCCTTTTTTTCTTTTTTTTTTAAACAGTTTTTTTTTTTTTATATTGGTATTCTTTGTAAAACATTTTATAAAGCATGAGTTGCAACATTACAAACTGCGTCTCAGATAAAATAGCATCAGATACATTAGTTCTTTTTTTTGTTCGATTGTCAAATGGTCCTTTTCCTACCAAAGCACTCTTTCTTCCGACACTAACCAATGGATCATCACGGTATTCCCTCCAAGAAAAGGAGTGGTTGAGTTTGGAACGTTTCAAACAAGTGGTGTTTCGGTTATTGTTCACACTCTCTCGTCTATTTCACTCTTGTTTGTAATTTTGTATTCTCTTGTTCGCTCTCCAAATTCACATGTACATTGCCTAGGGTGGACACGGATCGAATATCTGAGTATTTAGAGATATTTATGATTCAATCGGTTTCGTCGGAATAATAAATTATCTGATTCGATTCAATCTGTAGCCATCCAGATATTCGTTGTCCCGGATATCCGAATTTTTTTAGATTTTTACCGGATATCCGATTCGATTCATAAAAATAAATAATACCAAATAATAATAGTTCATTACAAAAATATTTTTTTCTTTAATTTTTACTAATATAATAAATTTAATAAATAAAAATCTTATAAAATTACATAAAATATATATTTATATAAATTCTATTTATACTTCTTTTTAATATATGCATATAACAGATCATATTGGATATTCGTTCCTAAAAATATTAGTATTCGTTCCTAAGGATATTTTGCCCAGCCTGAACGTTGCCTAATTATAATCTAACAAATATAAGAAACCTCTCCGTTTTTGTACTTAGCATATTTTAGAGTTTTATAGTCAACTTTTTTTTATTGTACTTGGATTGTGTGGAAGGCATTCGTTTTGCATGGTATAATAAACATAGTGGTTTACTAACCATTAGTACTATTCTATAGACATCTCTATGTGTATGTAGAAATGTGGGAGATTTTATATGTAACATCATACATCCTTTTTTTTTTAACATCATTCATCTTAGAATCCTTCTTTATAACCAATCATAATCACATCATGAACTATGGTTTGGACTTAAAAGAAGAAGCAAAATAAAGAGGCCTGTGATAATAGCATGGCCCGACTCTACATTAATACCAAGCCTAATATAAATAAAATTTAGCTGAATTATCGCAAAAGATAAATACATTAGCATGAATTATTACGTCAGCTAGTCTAAAAACACGAGGAAGAAACAAAAATACATTTTACACGCTTCGTATCAAAAAATCCATTCAACACGAAAAAAAACAAATTTATCGTTTCGATGTAACAACAATAACGTAACTGAATCCAAAAACCACGTGGCACTCCCTTATTCGACCTCTTTAACTAACCATTGCGTCTAATCTCAAGATTCAGCACCGATATTTTTCCGTAACTAACTTCTCAAAAATCTTCAAACCTCACATCTCCTCTCAAAGATCCGCCGAAGAAACAATGGGGACGGAGATTCCAACTTCACCGGAGATATCCGAGGCACTGTTACCGGAATCCAACAAAACCGCGGCGGCGATTTCACCTCAAGACGAGGACGTACCTGAGTGGAAGGAGCAGATAACGATCCGTGGATTAGCCGTGAGCGCGTTGCTGGGGACGTTGTTCTGCATCATCACTCATAAGCTGAATCTCACTGTAGGTATCATCCCTTCGCTTAACGTCGCGGCAGGTTTGCTCGGATTCTTCTTCGTCAAATCGTGGACTGGTTTCTTGTCGAAGCTTGGATTTGCGGTTAAGCCGTTTACTAAGCAGGAGAATACTGTTATTCAGACTTGCGTCGTCGCTTGCTATGGCCTCGCGTTTAGCGGTAACTGATTTTACGAAGATCGCGTTAACGATTTGGATTAGTTAGTTGTTGGATGATAGTAGAAGCTGTGATTTGATGTAGAATCTGATTGATTTTGTAGCTGATTCTTGAGAAATGATTTGATTGGATTATGGATTTTGAATTTTGAATTTCAGGAGGATTTGGATCAGTTAGTTGTTAGATTATAGTAGAAGCTGTGATTTGATGAAGAATCTGATTTGATTTGTAGCTAATTTTTGAGAAATGATTTGATTGGATTATGGATTTTGGAATTTCAGGAGGATTTGGATCAGTTAGTTGTTAGATGAAAGTAGAAGCTTCGATTTGATCTAGAATCTGATTTGATTTGTAGCTAATTTTTGAGAAATGATTGATTGGATTATGGATTTTGGAATTTCAGGAGGATTTGGATCAGTTAGTTGTTAGATGAAAGTAGAAGCTTCGATTTGATCTAGAATCTGATTTGATTTGTAGCTAATTTTTGAGAAATGATTGATTGGATTATGGATTTTTGAATTTTCAGGAGGATTTGGATCGTATTTGATTGCTATGGATGAGAAGACGTACAAGCTCATTGGTGCTGACTATCCTGGGAATCACGCGGAAGATGTTATCAATCCAGGGTTGTGGTGGATGATTGGGTTTTTGTTTGTAGTCAGCTTCTTGGGACTCTTTAGTCTCGTTCCACTACGCAAGGTACCATCTCAATTGCATTGATGTGATCATGTGCAAGCCAAGTCCTTGATCCTTACTCATACGTTTATGTTTTCAGGTGATGGTTTTGGACTATAAACTTACTTACCCCAGTGGGACTGCCACAGCGATGCTGATTAATAGTTTCCACACCAACAGTGGAGCTGAGCTTGCAGGGTAATTTATTTTTTGGAGTTATTCGATCTCGCTTTTTTTTTGCAAACTATATTTTGCGTTTTAAAAAAAAAAATTGTATTTGCAATATTGTTTAACTACAGAAACCAGGTCAAATGTCTTGGGAAATACCTGAGCCTTAGCTTCGTTTGGAGTTGTTTCAAGTGGTTCTTCAGTGGTGTTGGAGATTCATGTGGATTTGATAACTTCCCCACACTTGGTTTGACACTATTCAAGAACACGTAAGTAGTTCATATTAACAAGATTTAGTTGGGATGTGTTTGTGTGCTACTTTTTTGGGGTAAGTTTCTGCAGTTTTTGATGAGTCCCACTTTTCTGCCCCGCAGGTTTTACTTTGACTTCAGTCCGACATATGTTGGATGTGGTCTTATATGCCCTCATATAGTGAACTGCTCGGTTCTTCTCGGTGCGATCATCTCTTGGGGGTTTCTGTGGCCATTTGTATCACAACATGCCGGTGATTGGTATCCAGCTGACCTTGGCTCCAACGATTTCAAAGGTCTTTATGGATATAAGGTACAGTATAGGCTGCTCGATTAAGAACCTACGCACATTTTCATGTCAAAAAGGTGATAAATAGATATGTTTTATGTACTGATATTTCTCTTTCCTTCATAACTTTTGAAGGTCTTTATCGCCATTGCCATTATCCTTGGAGACGGTCTCTACAATCTTGTCAAGATCATTGCTGTTACTGTGAAGGAATTATGCAGCAGTAGCTCTAGACACCTTAATCTACCTGTTGTTACCAACGTTCTAGGTCAGAGCACATTAGATCCTGTTCTCATCTCTCACATTCTCTCATGTCGACTTTCCAAAAACTAATAACCTTTGAAATGTATGTTCTCCGATTCCATAAATTCAGATGACGAAGCCTCTGAGATACTCTTGGTAAAGAAGAAAAGAGATGAAGTCTTTTTGAAGGACCGTATCCCTCTCGGATTTGCAGTTTCTGGTTATGTGGGTCTTGCAGCTATCTCAACAGCAACAATCCCTTTGATATTTCCACCTTTGAAATGGTACTTTGTCCTTTGCTCATACTTCATTGCACCTGCTCTGGCCTTCTGTAACTCTTACGGAACTGGCCTCACGGACTGGAGTCTAGCATCAACCTACGGAAAGATCGGTCTTTTCATAATCGCTTCCGTAGTGGGAAGTGATGGTGGTGTCATTGCCGGTTTAGCTGCATGTGGTGTCATGATGTCAATCGTCTCTACAGCAGCTGATCTCATGCAAGACTTCAAAACCGGTTACCTCACTTTATCATCAGCAAAATCCATGTTCGTAAGCCAGCTCGTGGGAACTGCAATGGGCTGCATAATCGCTCCCCTCACGTTCTATCTCTTCTGGTCTGCTTTCGACATCGGAGACCCCAACGGTCCTTACAAAGCACCTTACGCAGTGATCTTCCGTGAGATGGCCATTCTCGGTATTGAGGGATTCGCAGAACTTCCTAAGCACTGTCTAGCTCTTTGCTACGGGTTTTTCGTTGCGGCTTTGATAGTGAATCTCTTGAGGGATATTACACCGCCTAAGATCTCTCAGTTTATCCCTATCCCAATGGCGATGGCTGTCCCGTTCTACATTGGAGCTTACTTCGCCATCGACATGTTCGTTGGGACTGTTATATTGTTCGTGTGGGAACGGATCAACAGGAAAGATGCAGATGACTTTGCCGGTGCTGTAGCGTCAGGGCTGATCTGTGGAGATGGGATATGGACAATTCCATCTGCAATCCTATCGATCTTGAGGATCAATCCACCCATCTGTATGTACTTTAGACCAGCTTTGGCGAGTTAGAAGATGTCATAGTCTCGTGGCCGCAGGTACTGAAAGTAATTGTTTTCATATGTTGTTGTATATATGTTTCGAAATCTCAATATTCCCAGGAGAAACAGAAAAAATGTTGTTGCAAAATCTCTTGATATGTTTTAGACAGTGTTGTTTCTTTAAGGGATGTTGTCCCTTTGAATCTTTTCTTGTTTAGACATTCACAAGCTCAAGAAAAGTTTGAGACCATTTGCCTTTTGTTAAAAACTATTTGAAACTAAAGTAAAAACTATTTGAAAAAATTGTTTCCTCAGTAAGATAATACATTGAAAATTACAAAGCTATATATGAACTATATATACATCAATAATAATAATCCCGAACTTCCAAAGTCAGTTGAGTATTAAACGTGATTATGAGCGCCATTAAGATTGATTCATGCATTTAATCATATAGAGTAGTTAACTTGATCAAGATTAATTGCTCTACAAGACGTGTGAGTAATTATGAATGATGATGATACGGGAGGTGCAAGTAAGAAATAGAGATATACTATGATGTTGTCGGTCCATAAAGATGGATCTCTCAAGACTCAAAGTCATTCAATTTCTTTAGGTCTTGCCGTACAAGTGAACCAAACCCTGGACCAGCCAATTGTCAAGATCCTACTGATCCACTTCAAAGACTAACTACTTCCTTCTCTCAGAAGACGTTGACTTTGACTACTGTTTTAGATGTATCATGTAAATTTTTTTTTTTTTTTTGGTTGCTTAGGGCAGTAATAATGAGAGTGTTTGTGAATCAAAATGTAATATTTTTCATTAGTAGTAACTAACGTCGTAGTTAAAGTCTTAACTAGTCTAAGGAATTAACAAGTTAATTTTGCAACATTATTTCACAACTCCATTCTCAATTTTCCTCCCCCTCCCAACAAAATTTTCACCTGTGCATTTTTAATATAGTTAACGGTTTGGCTATCTCTTTTTTACTTTTGACTGTGTAAGCAAAACTGTGTATATACTTGTCAAAATTACACATGAGCTACAAACTATAGATCTTCATATAATCATGTACTATATTATAAACACATAACTAACGAGTACTTTGATCTCAGAAAATTAAATCAACTTGATGTTTAAAAGATAGTTATAATATTCATTGGCTGGATGAGATTGTTAATCACTACGGTATGTCTATAGTCTATACTCTATACAGTATACCATTTTTTTTACTGAAAATGTCACTACATTATCAGTCACAATAGTATACATTACAATTAACTTCTCACTAAAAACAAATCCTGTGACAGGCAACTAAAAAAGAAAGACAAAACGTACTATTTAATTTTTTACTGTATGTCTGTATCTAGTAGTGGGACATGAAGTGGCATTTGTTAGATTCTCATTAAGTTTGATCAAAAGGACTAAAAATGTGATTTGGTCACTCCTTTTTCATTTAGAGTGTACTCCCTCCGTTCCACAATATAGGATGTTCTATCTAAAGCACAAGAATTAAGAAACTTAACTTTTCAAAAGATAACATCATTGATAGTATAAATTTAAAATAAATGAACCAATCATAAATAATAAATTAAAATACTATTGGTCAACCGGTTTTCTATAAAGTTAAAGTACCTTAAATATATCAAAACATCTTATATTTTGAAACATCAATTTTCTCTAGAACATCTTATATTATGGAACGGAGGGAGTACTTGTTTGTTCACTTTTTGTTGTGTTTGGTTAAAATCTTTAAAGAGTCTCAGTATTTGTGTAACATACCAAATCAAACCAAGAAAAGTAAAAAGAAAAAAAAAAGGAAAAAGACAAAACTTAAAGTCTCACTCATACTTTATAGGGTTTTCTCATTTCTTTATTGACCCATTTTGAGATCGAAAGATGATAACTTTTCACTTTATTCTTCTCCATCCTGCATCAGGATTTTATCGGATCCCTAAAAAAACACAGTAAAATTCTCAAAGTTGATGCCTTTTTCTTTTTCAAGTCATAAATGTTCAGTTAAATTTCCAAGTCCCCACACAGCTTTGATGGATCCAATAACCCAAATCAACACCAAGTACCAAACTTCTTGAACCCACCACCACAACCAAGAAGATATGCTTCCGATGACAACAAGGACGATAAACCAGCTCAAGTTAAAGATTCTGAGATCGTGGTTGCTTCTGACAACAACAGTAAGAAGCAGCTTGGTCCCAAGAGAAGCTCAAACAAAGACAGACACACCAAAGTAGAAGGTAGAGGTCGGAGAATCAGGATGCCTGCTCTCTGTGCCGCTAGAATTTTTCAGTTGACAAGAGAGTTAGGTCACAAATCAGACGGAGAAACTATCCAGTGGCTGCTTCAACAAGCTGAGCCGTCTATAATAGCAGCCACCGGTTCAGGAACTGTACCTGCCTCTGCTTTAGCCTCTGTCTCTAACCACCACCATTATCATCAAGGTGGGTCTCTCACTGCTAGTTTAATGATCAGTGACTTAGACAGTGGTGGGTCTAGACCAAGTTGGGGAGGAGAGGCTTCTATGTCAAGTTTACAAACTGGGTTATGTCCAAATGTAGCTGGTGGGGTAATGAGTGAAGGAGCTGGTCACAGAATTGGGTTTCCTGGGTTTGATTTTCCTGGTGGAGCTATGAGTTTTGCTTCCTTTCTTGGTGGTGCTGGTGGTGGTAATGGTAATCAAATGCCAGGACTTGAGCTAGGTTTGTCTCAGGAAGGGAATGTTGGGGTCTTGAATCCACAGTATTTTACACATATTTATCAACAGTTGTCCCAAGCTCAGGCTCAGGGTAGGGTTCTTCACCATGCTCTTCATCATAACCCATCACATAAAGATCACCAGCAAGAGAGTGGTGAGAAAGATGATCCTTAATGATGAGGGTGTTAATTTTCAGCTTGTTTGAATGGTTTTCTCTTGTGGGTTTTGAAAAGGTTTTGGCTTTTGTTTTGTTATAGTATAGTTGTAATTGTACAAGTAGCATGGAGAAGGAAAAAAAAGTTGATACTTAATACTGAGTGAGAGTGAGATAATCTATGAATGAGACCTCTGCAAAATACACAGTGAGCTGATTTCAGTTTGATACTTTCAGAAGATGATGATGATACAAGAGAGACTCAAAGAGCTTTTTTGAGTGTTTGTGACATTTTCTTGGGAGTTTCTATGTGAAGCTTGCAAGTGGATTTTGTTATTAGACACAGTCCGGAGATTGTTTTTTTTTTCTTTCTCCTTTTTTTGAAGCTTTGGAGAATTTGATCTAGAGAGGCTTGATTTTTACTTAATTCTGTGTTGTTGTTGCTTCTTTTGAATATCAAGAAACTTGACTTTTCTATCTAAGTATAATGATAATCATTAGCATCTATGTTTGATCTGAGTTTGTGCACGATGTGAAGTTAACAGACGACAGGTCTTGCGTATAGTCCATCATCCATGCAAAGCCATAGAGCAAGTCAGCAAGAACAACTCATGCTAAGAAAAGGCTTTAACATGTTACAGCTCAAAAGAGACACCGTTTTAATATTTAACCATTTGCACTACGTCACGTTTTAACGCAGAATAAACGACGCACTACGTCACGTTTTAACGCAGAATGAAACGGCATTGAGCTGTTTTGTTGAAAGATCGACAAAGTGACCGGTCAGAGCAAAGTGGAAGAAGGTAGAGAACAGTGATTCTACGCTTCGATTCCAAGACAAGTCTTCATCTTTCTAAGATCGAAGATCTCTGTTTCGTCTAATTCGATAGAAAGGTGAGATTTTTAATATTGAGCTTTTGAATCGGAGAAGATGGACAACAAAAACGTCGTCGTTTGCGACAACGGCACCGGCGTAAGCTTTTGCTATCATCTCTTATATCCCTTGCTCTTGTTTCAGAACTCCGATCGTTTGATTCCACTAGCCCCTTTACTTGAATCTCATCAAACATTACATTTTCTTAATGTCTTTCATTAAAAAAAAATTTCACCTTTGTTTTGGATCTTAGTTGTCTGAAAAAAAAAGCGTTGTCTGAACGTTGCAAAAACTGAAACTTTGAGTTCCTTCTGATGCGTTATGTTTTGGGTTTTACCTGGAAACAGAGTCTCTAATGTCTGAATATTTTCTGGGAATTTTTGCAGTATGTGAAATGTGGATTTGCTGGAGAGAACTTCCCAACATCTGTTTTCCCTTGTGTTGTTGGAAGGCCGTTGCTTCGGTACGAAGAATCACTCATGGAGCAGCAAGTGAAGGTTTGTATATATATAAGTTGCCTTTCCTCTTACAAAACTTAGGAAAAAAAAAAAAGTATAGATCTTTGCTTGTTTAACATTTGAGATCCTTTTGTCTACTTTGTTTTGGTTTTGTTTAGGATATAGTTGTGGGGGAGACTTGTGCTGAGCTGAGGCATCAACTGGATATAAACTATCCTGTCCACAATGGTATTGTACAGAATTGGGAAGACATGGAACATGTTTGGGATCATGCTTTCTACAACGAGTTGAAAGTAGGCAATTTTGATCTTTTTGCATTTGCTTGGATGAGTATTAAAAACCCCTTTTGTTATTGTTCAGATCAATCCATCAGATTGTAAGATACTGCTCACGGATCCACCACTTAACCCCGCCAAGAACCGCGAGAAAATGGTATGGTATATTGTCAACTTTTGGTGGCCATTGATGGTGGTTGTTGGAGTAGTAGTAAACTGAATCAAGTTGGGTGATTACAGATTGAGACAATGTTCGAGAAGTACAATTTCGCCGGCGTTTTCATTCAGATCCAGGCCGTTTTGACTCTGTATGCTCAAGGTGCTTATTGGAGATTCTTGAAGGTTTATTTAGTTACCTGGAAAATAATTTTTACGCTGTTTTTTTTTCTTAGATACATTTTTTTGATGTTGAATTTCCTTATTTCAGGTTTGCTGACTGGTTTGGTTATTGATTCTGGTGATGGTGTTACTCATGTGGTAAGCTACAGAGATCTGTGATTTTTAGACTGAGTTTGGCTTAGAAAGCACTTAACAGTCGTCCTCTGATGTCTTAGGTTCCGGTGGTTGATGGCTATTCATTTCCTCATCTTACCAAAAGAATGAATGTTGCTGGCAGACACATAACAGCATATCTTGTTGACCTCCTTTCTCGAAGAGGGTGAGAAACTGATTCATCGATTGAATATTGATACGATAACTAAAATTTTGTGTATAAACAGATATGCGATGAATAAAACGGCTGACTTTGAGACGGTAAGGGAAATCAAAGAGAAGCTCTGCTATATAAGGTATGCTAACACTTTCTTCACAGTTTTCCTCTTATGTATACATACGCATAATCTAAAAAATATTATTTGTTCTTCTTCGTTTGCAGTTATGACTACAAGAGGGAGTACCAGCTTGGGCTTGAGACAACCATCCTTGTTAAGAACTATACTGTAAGTTCTCTATTATTGTATTCTTTTTTGAAATTCTAGAAATATAGAGTAAGATAATAGGAATCTTAAGTTATAATCAGAACCAGATAATAAGAATCATGCTTTGTCATTAACTAATGTGTTCTTGTACTGTGATAAGCTTCCAGATGGGAGGGTCATCAAAGTAGGTACTGAAAGATTCCAAGCACCTGAAGCTCTTTTCACACCGGTAATAAACCTTATGCACGTCCTTTGCTAGTTTCTGTTTCTAAATGATTCCAACTCTTTAAGAACCCTGGACTAATCACAGAACACAACCTTCTCTCTTTTTCTCGTTTTGTAACTTTTTTACAGGAACTCGTTGATGTTGAAGGTGATGGAATGGCAGACATGGTTTTCCGCTGTATTCAAGAAATGGATATTGATAACCGCATGATGGTACGTCTGCATCTCATCCTTGCTTATAGATCCAAAACAGGAATAATATATTTTCTCAGACCCATTTCCCTTTTTTGTCACAGCTCTACCAACACATAGTTTTAAGCGGAGGAAGCACCATGTACCCTGGATTACCTAGCCGGTTTGTATTTTTATTTTGGTTATTCACAATCCAACAAGAAGCTTGATGGTTTACGTTTTAATGTCTTCTGTGCTCTCTTTGTTTCAGTCTTGAGAAAGAGATCCAGGATAGGTATCTCGATACAGTTCTCAAAGGAAACAAAGATGGTTTGAAGGTAGAGCATCCGACTAAGTTCACGATTGCTGTCATTGTCAAGTTTCTTACATTATTTTGGTCAATCAGAAACTCAGGTTGCGGATTGAGGATCCACCTAGAAGGAAACACATGGTATACCTCGGAGGCGCTGTTCTTGCAGGAATCATGAAGGTAAAAAGAAGCTCAATGCTTTCACAACACACAACCTTGTAGTATGTGAAATGATTGTTTTAAGAGAAATGTTTTTGAATGGTTTTATGTTGCAGGACGCACCAGAGTTCTGGATCAATAGAGAGGACTATATGGAAGAAGGAATTGGTTGCTTGAACAAGATGAGCCAAGCTTGATGATGATGATGACACTCTAAAACATTAAAACTTAAGTTTGTGGCATGTGTTTGTAGGATTCACCAACATTTGAGGATGTTTTAATTGCATTCTCTAAGTTCTTGTGTTCTTAGCACACACACACATTCTCGCTTCTTGATTAAATAAAACAACTTTTATGTTCTTCGCTAGTAGAAGCGACATAGACAATAACAGTGAAAGATAGTTTTCTAAATCTTTAGTTCTTGCCACACAAGGCAAGATTCCTCTTGAACGGTCTGAAGTTCAAACCATTGAATCCATAGATACAGAGATTAGACCGTTTAGACTTAAACACGACTTGATCCGTGGTGCTTCTATAACCAGGTACGTTGCAGGAAGAATCTGAGGAGTCTCTTCTTCTTCCGACCAAACTCGCTTGACAAGAAGTCGCGAGACTGTCCACGTCAAGGTTATCTAGTGATGTTATGGTTACCTTGTAGAGTCCAAACTCGTTAGTGGTTCTGTTTGCCGAGAATGTTATCATCTCGTTTGTTGTCGACGAAGCTGATTTGAGTCTGCAGACTATGCTCACTTCCACTCCTGTGTCAAGAAAACGTTAAAAACAGAGTTTTTGAAGAAGAATAAAAAGAGTTTCTTAGAGATGTTTTTGAATTACCAGACATGAAGTAACTGTGTTTGGAAAAGCTGTTGTTGGAGCATACATCGCAGTAAACAAAACCCATTATATTTATTTCTGCATTTGGCTTGGCTGATGGATGTTTCGGAGAAAGAGAGTCTACTAACAGAAGTTGCAGAAGAACAAACAAAAACATTATCTTCTTCATCTTGACCAACAGGTTTTGCTTTGTTTATGTGGTTGATGTAAGGAATAGTATGGAACAATGTGAACAAATTGAACTAGTTACAGTCAAGAAGAGATTGGAGCTCCATTGAACTTGCTCCAAGCTTCTATTAATATTCCTTTATATAGAGAGACTTATGCAGTTAGCATTAAGTATAAGGACAATCAAGAGAGTGGAGAGGGAACCAAGAGAGGCGCATTTGGAGTGAAGATTATAAATGTGAAGAGAGGGCCAGAATTTAAGGCAAGAAGAGCTGAGAAGATAGTGGAAAGACACTGCATGAAAGTGAAGGTTATAAATGAAAGAATAAAGAGGAAGACAGTGAAGTTAGGTGAGAAGACACTTATTGAGATCTCATGCTCTTTGTTTCTTTTGGAGTTTTGTATCTAAATCCCAAAAATTGGCCCTCTGTAAAGGAGAAAGTGAAGAGAAAGATAATGCCACTTATATCTTCTGCATGGACCATATACCATATTAAAGTGCTTGTACTGGTTTAGTACTGGTTTTAGGTTAGTGAAGGACCGAATACAGATTTGTTAGCACAAGGTTTGGGCAGATACTGGTGAAGACAAAGGTCTTCAAGTGTAAAGATGAACAGAACCATACAACAAAACATGTTACAGAGTTCTAATTGTAAAAGAGAACTCTTCTCTATATAATAAAGAGTTCTCATCACAATGCAAGAGAAAAAAGCTTCAATAGCCACTGATGATGCTTTCTTTGAACTTGGGGATGAATACCATAATATGAACCTGTTATCACATTATCGTACATGAGCAAAAGCTCCTCTGCGGGGCGTCTTCCTCTTCGATTTTCTTTTCTGCAATAGAATAAGAGATAAACAACCACTGATATTAGGAGTGTTGTCCTGTTTTATCTTTCAAGAACTCACAAAGCATACATTCCACAAGACAAAATATAATAAGAAATCAAGAGAACAAGACCTGATTTTGCTTTTGTAGGAGACGGTTGCACGACAACATGCATTGTAATGACTGACTTGGGGAGATCATCAAATGGAGCTTTACACTGTGCAACAGTTTTGCCATTCTCCAAAATCTTACCAGCATTTATCAGCTTGATGTCATTAGCTGTTCTTGGAACAATCTTCTTGTCTGAAAACAAAACATTTCCATTATTAGAGATTTTGCTAAATACAGAAGAGCAAGACTATGCAAGTGTGTTAAGAGAACTAGAACAGTCTTTGTCCTAGAGTCTCTAGAGAGATGTTTGGTAGGGTCAATAGTCTAAAGACAAGTGATTAGTGATACAGTCAGATCTATAACTAGCCTAGACTTATGTAAGAAACTTAAACAATGGATGAAGCAAACATAGAACAGTTACTAAACACCAAATCAAAAGCATTCAAGAACATTTTGTACCAACCAATGACTAGCTCTCACCTTTAGGCCACTCTGATATGATTCTCTCCTTAAGCATTGAGACTGTGGCCGTTGGAGAGTAATGAAACGGGCCAACATCTGAACCGTCATATAACCGGAATTTAAGTTCTACCAAATCTTCCTCCGGCATTTGATTTCTCTTTTTCTCCCCCCAAAAAAAGCCAAAACTCTCAGATAATCTCAGCAGAAGTAACTTTTTTTCCTGTAGTAGTAAGAGCAAAAGAGAGATTGTCAAAATTTGAAGGGATCAGTTACAAAACTTCAGTTATTGTCTCAAAATCAAGAACCTTGGACCCAATTAATACAAAGAAAGATTGTGTCCAAAAAATCAAAACTCTGAACTCATCACTTATGTCCTAAACTAAACCTTCATACAAAATTAAAAGACCACACATAAATGTTTTTTTTTACAACACATAAATGTACTCGAACTAAGACATTCACATCAAGATCCAATAAACAGAAATGTTGCTAAATCTAAAAGGAAGAGAATGGTTGCAGTAAACCTTAGAGATAGATTGCTTCAATAAGCAGCTATGGATGGTAGGCAAATATTTTTCTGCGTTCACTCTTGAGACTGAGAGATCGAGAGAAGCAAGAGGAAGACCCTTTAAAAAGGGTTTATACGACCGCCTAGTCTTGGAAGTATTGCTTTATCTCAAAGTTTCTCCGTTATTTCATGTTGCCGCGTTACAGGGAATCCCTGACGACGAGTAGAAGAAAGATAAAGACAAGAAAATGTGGAAAAGTATGGTTCCCTTTATTTTATTAGTCAAAGATTAAAAACCTTGTCGGCGTTTTGACCAGTCTTGAAAAGAAGAGCTAAACGAATCTTCCAAGTTTCATAGATGAGATAATTGAAAAAGTCTAATCTTCACAGTAAAAGAAATGTTAAAGTTTACAGACAGAAGATATATGCAGAAGAAGCATATAGTTAGACTTGCACATTTCAAATCCTATCAAACACCCATTAATACTGTACTTTTAACAACACCAAAGAAGTAAGCTTTTTGGTCTCTTAACCCTACAAAATAGATTCTTCACTGCCGAGTAATAGGTGTCATAGAGGACGGTGAGTTAGTTCCATAGAAACCATCTTGTCCCTGAAACTTTTGGTATGAATTATCGGATGGAGCAGAGGTTGTTGGAAGCGAGGTGAGTCCAGGAATCCAAGGACCTTGCTGTTGTTGTTGAGTGGTGTAGGTGAATGGTGTCTGGTTTACAGGACCAGGAGGCTGTAACGGCTGCAAGAACTGAGGCTGTAGCTGGAACGCTGGTGGTGGTGGTGGTGGAGGTAGAGGACTGGTGGTGGCTGTGGATGTGTTCTGTTGGAGATAGGACTGGTCAAGGTTTTGAAGTTTGGGCCTTTTCTCTGGCGGGTATACGTCTGATGATGGAGGTTCTGTTATAGCAGGTGGGTTGTTGTTTCCGATGATGCCTTCAGAGGCAAAGGAGGAGAGAACGTAGGAGAGCATCTCGGCTGAGGAGGTTGATGCGGTTAGCTTAGCTACCATTGCGGCGGCTTCAGTTTTTCTTGGGTCTACTACCACTGACTGAGTTGGTGGGTTCGAAGCAAACATAACCGGTGCAGATGCAGTGAATGAAACTTTGATGACTTCTTTTGACTCTTCTTCTGTAGCAGGAGGAGGTTGTGAGCTACTGCCATGGTCTAGAAGCTGTTTGCAGAGATCAGTAGTTCGGTCTGATTGAAACCGAGCAACCTGAAAATTTGTGCACAATGGGTAGCAATTTTAACTAAAATAGCTTAAAGACAAAGGCAATATTTTGTTTGTAAGAGTCATGCAAGAAGATTCCTATTCAGATTTGGATCTATCTTTCCTGAGCAAGTACACAAACCTGAAGGTGGCTACGGACTTGCTCCAGCTTGTGTTCCTGAAACAAACAAACAAAAATCAAGGTGAGGTTTTTGGCAGAAGCAATCAGAGATGATAACAGTTGTTATAATGAGTAACCTGTTCTTGTAAAGCCTCTCTCAAACGAGAGATAAGACTTGTTCTGGATGTTTCTATTGCTCCTAGCTGTTCGATGCAGTCTCTCAGTATAGTATGCTGTCCCTGCACCTCCTTCACAACCGCGGCGCCAGGTGTGTGTCCTGTTAAAAGCAACATTCAGCAAGTCAGATAGTGAGAGAGCTTCATATGGTTGATGTATGTTTGAACACAAATGATATGTTCAATATCCTAAAAAGCAAAGTAGTGTAATATATCCACAAGCAGTTAATCCCAGCAATCAGAACTGTAGTTAGATCTCTTAACGATTCAAACTATGGTGGGATTAGGGGGTTATATATATTTCTGGATTGTCTCACCATTACTTGATCTGGCTTATCAAATGGTAAGACTCACCCAGTGAAAAGGATGATTTTGAAATAACTACTTGGAAAAAAGGGTGTGGTATAATATACTATTTAACATTCTGGTTCTGATACAAAGAGTGTGTAGTAAAAGGATAAACCACGAGAGTGGAGTTCTAAGAACAGTCGAATGTAGAAATCTGCAGCTATGTAGCAGCCAATAGATGGTGATACCTGAGTTAAGATCTCTCTCAACTTCATGAGCTGCTTTCTCAAGGTAACCCACAACATTAGTACATTTTCCAACAACATCATGCTCATCAATCTGAACGCCGTGAAGAGCTTCAACAGCAGACACTACTTTCTCCAACGGAGTTACATTGACCTGTTTCTGTTGAACAGATTACAAAAAAAGATAACAGAGCTTATCATGTTGCTAACTTGGAAGAACTCTGAAGATGAAATTACCACATAACGGTGGACCTTATTGAAAAAATGAAACCAGAGGTACACATATAGTTTTATAAAAATCTCTGACTTACAAGCTTAAGTGGCACGAGCCCACCGTTTCTGGTTCCATTTTCAGGATGCTTTTTCAGAATTTCTTCTTTTAGAATCTGTCCACTAGATCCAAAAACCTTCCTTTCTTCCCATATATTAACCTTTTAAATGAAAATTACTGACATTTTAGCAATGCAGTTTCTTATCCCGAACTCCAAAACTACAATTTCAATGACTGTCATTTACATGCTCACTAAAACTCCAAGACAAGGAAAATAACTCAAATAAAATAGTAACCAAAAGTGAACTCTTCATGTTACCAATCGAAGCGCAGATTTTCTTTCAGAGTCATCACCATTTTCAATCACATCACGAAGAGCATCAGGGAGCACATTCCAAAACTCACCAACAAACTCTGAACCTCTTCGCCTACTGTTCTGCAAGATATCATTCGCAAGGTACAAGTAGGCCAACCGCTGCTCACGCGGGGAGCAATGAAACTGCCTGCCCCATGTTTCCACAACATGTTTCGCCTTGTTCATGTGAAAGATACACCAATGTGATAAAGCTAAACAATGTTGTCAAGGATAGACACACAATGCAAAGCCGAAAAAAAAACCACTAGCAAGTTAAAAGAGTTCAAAAAATAATCTCTGGTCCACAATATCATATCAGAGACACAAATCAAAAGAAACCTAAACGGTATAGAAGAAGAACTCATAGAGTAAATTACAGTGTTCTGAAACTGTAAACAATATTTCTATACAGAATCTAAAAAAAACCGTTCTAGGCTGTCTTTTGATCAATAATTTCATATATAAACGCCTAACGGCTGCATAACCATTTTTTGAACATTGATAAATTACATTCCAATATCCAAACACCCATCTCTAACTACAAGAAACCATTGAAAGTATAAACCTTTAACACAAACGAAGATTAGGAGACAAACCAGAAACCTATACATAACAAAAAGGATACTCTGTATGCTTGCTTGAGAACTGTTGAGTTTGGCAAGCTTCTCAGCTAAAACCTGAGCATTAAACGAACTACCCATTCTTCCACCACCTCAAAGTCAGCGCCTTTACAAGTCTAGAGATAAAAAAAACACGTTACAAACCCTAAATTCATTTACTTTTAGCGTAACCGAAACAATTAATTATCATTATTACATAAACACATTAACATGTCTGAACAACATAGAATCATCAGGACAAAAGACAGATTCTCCATTGAACTATAAAAGTGGATTCCGACAACAAAACTGGTCTAAAACCCTAATGTCTGAAAGATAACCTAAATTGAGAGGAATTACAGAGAGGAGGAAGCAGTCAAGAAGAGGAGAAGGAGACTATCGTTGCGATGAGGCTCGTGGGGAAGTAAAAAGGTCAAACGATTGCAAAAGATAAAATCACGGCGATGATACGGCGCCGTTTTGATTTGATGACGCTTGCTCCTAAAAACCGCCGGAGATTTTGAGAGTTGGAAGAATAAACTTGGGAACGAAACGACCACCGTGGGAATTTTCTACTCGCTTTAGGTGTCATCATTGGGCCTAAGCCCATGTTCTTGAGGATAATAATGGTATATAGAGGCCCAATGTACTATACGTCGCCGTTGTGAGTAGAGTAACAGCGAGGCGTTGGATAAAAAACAACATGTCTTTCTTTTTTTTTTTGACATCTGCGTCAGCAATTAGTAATTGCAAGGTAGATGTTTAGAAGATAATTTAAAGTGGACAAATCAATCAAAGAATATAATAATAGCGCTATTAGCAGAGAGTTTATATAATAGCTCAGTAGATTAGACAACCTAAACCTGCCTTTCAGACTCCTTGCAAGGTAGGTGTTTTTTTTTTTTGTCAAACTCAAGGTAGGTGTTTAGAGGAGAAGACATGAATGTGAGAGATGAGTGTGAATCATACGCAAGCCAGCGAATGAGAAGATTTCTAAAACGTGTCATTCCTTCCCGAAGTGTATTTCAATGTAATTGAAAATCTTCCAAGAATTTTATGCTTCTTTTTCATATATGTCAAAGTAAAAAAGACCAAAAAAAAGATATCACAATGATAAAAGTAGTTAGGATTATAAATCCAAGACAAAATTTGAATGTCATGTTAATTGGATTAGTTTTTTTCCCAATGTTAAAAAAATAACCAGACAGTGTTTAAATGCTCTATACGAGATTATCGATTAAGCAGACATCTATAACAACTTTTAAAGCGTCTAAACCGATTTTTTTTTTTAAATTGATTCTAGAAAAATCGTACCGTTTAAGTCTGATTTACAGATTAACCTATACATATAACAATGTTTTTTTCTTTCTTCGTAGTGTCCTTCTAGAAGAGTAGCTGGATTTCAATAAGCATAAAAACATCGATATGCATTATTGATTAGACGGGCATCTAAACAACTCTTATAAGCGACTACACCAAATTTAAGAAAAAAAACATTATAGAAAATTGTTTTATTTATATTCGATTTGCTGATTAGCCAATTTTTATAACATTTGTTTTTCTTTTTTTCGTATTGTCCTTCTAGAAGAGTAGCTTTAAGTATACACACGTCAATATCATAATAACCCTGAGTCGGACTAGTCTTTGGTGTTATCCTTATGAGATTGGTTGGATATGGATCACATACACGCGTCATTCATATTGAATATAGTGAGATATCCTACTCTATAGAATGTATCTAATACAGATTATTTCCTCAAATCATTTACTCTTTCCTGCAATTTAACCTTGGAATCCCCCCTACCTAAGGATCACTCTTCTATTATAAAAGCAGAGTGTTTGTGTAGCTATTTCCTTAGTGACACAAAGAAAACATGGATGGCTATTTGTTTCGGTTTCAACCCTCCCTTTGAGGAACTAGCATTGGTGGCTCATTGCTCTTTCTCCTTAACGCTCTCAAACCCTCAGCCCATTTAAAAGTCTCAGCAAAAACTCTTACTCTAGCCAAATCTTCATTTTCTTCTTTTTTTTTTTTCATTAACCTTCAACATCTTTGTCATCTCTTTCAGTGAGCGCACTGTCACGTCAATTTTTTTCTCCCACTTTACTCCTTTCCATTTCAAATGCTCATTTTCTTGTCGTTTCTTGCCAACTCAAGTAATTCATCTAGAGTATCCACTACTTGGCCGATGATCGGTCTAGTGTGTGCTTTTCTTTTCTCTGAGACACATAAACGCCAATACTAAAACTCTTCTTACAATTTCTTCTAAGCCATGCCTTTGCATTACTGATGTTAACAACGCGAGGTCTGGCATGGAAGAAGATGTGAGAAGAGCTCTTATATTGGCGTTTATGTGTATGAGGAAAGAAGTAAACTCTAGGCCAACCATCAGCGAAGTAGTAGATACGCTAGATGACCATGTATGCCCCATAGAAGAAAGCAAGGGAAGCGACGGCCTAGGCCTAAAGATTTTGGACAAGATTTTTAGTTCTTTTTAAAACATGCCAAGAATTTACTTTTTGGGTTAGACCTAAATGTTTTGAACTAAGGATCCGATTTTTTAATCCATAACTAGATTTTTTTTTCTTCTTACAAATCTCTTATTTATTCTGTTGTGTTTTGCTTCAGTTTTTTTTTTTTGAAAAAAAATCTTGATAGCTTTTTTCACACATTGGTTCACTATTGAATTATGTTTCTTATAACAACATACTCTGTTTTTCTTATTTAGTTTTTGATGTAAGATAATCCTCTGTTTTTTAATATAATCATATGGTTATGAGCAATAACTAAGGGGGCATATTTCTTAAATGATCAGGGCCTATGATAGACATGGACCAGCCATGTGTATTACATAGTTAAGTGATGAGAAGAGAGAGAAAAAGACCATTCGACATGGACGAGGAGTAGAGTGGGGGAAGAAAGTGAGGTGCCAATGAGCTCACCAACAGAGACGATGAGGCTGTTGAATGTTAGAGAAAGAGCGGTTGCTGAGGATGTGTGATGGACTGAGGGGTTGAGAGCGTTAAGGAAGAAGAAAATGAGCCAACAATGCCGGCTCCTTCATCAGAGGGTTGAAATTGAACAAATTGTTTTATATGTAATTACTTACTTATTAGTTATGTTTTTTGTTAAAAGAATTTACTTATAGTTATGTAGCTCTGCTATAATAAGAGTTTCATGTCGAGAAAACTCACATTCGGCATTGGTTGAATGTAATATATCTTGGCGTTTCATTGTTGGAGATAACAATTTAATAGCTATAAGATTAGTTGAATGTAATAAATCTTGGCGTTTCATTGTTGGAGATAACAATTTAATACAATGAAGATAACAATTTAATAGCTATAAGATTACTCTTGGCAAAAGGAAAAATTACGGTGATGATACGGCGCCGTTTTGATCAGATGACGCCTCCCAAAAACCGTTGGAGATTTTGAGAGTTGAAGAATAAACTTGGAAACGACCACTGGGATTTTCTACTCGCTTAAGTGCCATCATTGGGCCTAAGCCGATGTGCTTGAAGAAAATAATGGTATATATAGGCCCAATATACTATACGACGCCGTTGCGAGAAGAGTAACAGCGAGGCTTTAGATAACCAAAAACATTTGCCTCGTTGTTACTCTACTCGTTAGATAACAAACAACGAAACGACTATAGTTAATACGACGCCGTTGCGAGTAGCAGCGAGGCGTTAGATAACAAAAAACATTTGATTCTACAAAAAGCGTTCCGTTTAAGTCTGATTTACTGATTAACCAATATTTATAACAATGTTTTTTCTTTCTTTGTAGTGTCCTAGAAGAGTAGCTGAATTTCAATAAGCATAAAAACATCGATATGCATTATTGATTTGGAGGGCATCTAAACAACTCTTATAAGCGACTACACCAAATTTAAGTAAAAAGAAACATTCTAGAAAAATGTTTCATTTATATTCGATTTGCTGATTAGCCAATTTTTATAACATTTGTTTTGTTTTTTTTTTGTATTGTCCTTCTAGAAGAGTAGTTGTAAGTATACACGCGTCAATATCATAACTGTGTATATATATAGAGAATCAAGAAACCAACAATAACTTCTGGTTAAACAATAAATGTATGAACACAACTAAATAAGAAATGTCTGAAAAATCCTGAAGAAACTCACTCATACAAAAAAAGTAAACAACACACCAATTCAACCTTTTTGCTTACCACAACAACCAAACCCAACATAAACACTTTCCACATTAACAACTTTGGTAAGTTCTCCACAAACCACAAGCTTGCAATAACTAATTTTAACCTGATTAATCCAAAACAAAAAAAAAACATTTGAAGAGATAAAAGAAAACAACCTCTCAGATTTCCTCTAAACCTGTATTCACCATCCCTGAACTTCATCTCTGTTCTGTCTTTCTTCCGTGCTAAACCGTGTGTATATCTGACTATGTAGGCCGGTTCTCAGTCACTAGACCGGTTCCACTGCTACTTCCTCCACCGTTCTGGTTCTGTTCCACTACTCTGGCTGCTAAGGCCATAACTTCCGGTGACATATCCCAACTTCCACTTTTCCTTCCCCAGCTTGACCTCCTACCAGGCCTATCACTTTGTTGATCATCAACTGTTGTCCTAGCCTCTGGAGACAGCTCACCTAACTCACCGTCCCTAACATGTAACCTTTCATTGTTACTATTTTTGGCTTCACCATGTTCTGACATTGCTGAACCCATGTCTGCCCAAACAGCTTTCCTCCCCATTTCAATGTCATCATTAGCTTTACCCATGTTTGGACTCATAAACCCGCCTGGTACAGATCTAGGAGGCAGTGGAGGTTCACGATGGACCATAGCTCTAAAGTCATTCTTTGAAGAAGGGATTGCTGAGTAAAATGTTTCTTTGAAGTTATTAACCACTCCTTTGTTATGTGGGTTGCTTCTCCGATCATATCTGTATCGAAAATTCTCATATGTTGTCTGCAAAGACAAAAGAAAATCAATCTGTCACAAAAGATTACTAAAGAGAGGATGAGGATTGAATTTGGTAGCAATAATATACCTGGTTTGTGCTGATGAGATATAGATGGAAAGCTGTTAAGCCACCAACAAACCACATGGCTATAAATGTGTAGATTATCAGAACAATGGAGGCAGGAGTTTTGAACATTGCCTTCCAGATGGTTGTATGCTCTGACTCCATGATCCTCCTTATATAAACCCAGCAGAAGGCAAACACATATATACAGAGAAGTGTCGTAGAGAAGACAAACATGAAGAAGAATCTGTAGTTCCTCTGCAACAACCATGAGAATATGAGATGAAGTATGGTTTATGCGGTGGATGTTTAAGGACATTTGTGACTTACCAGGCCTATACATTGGCCAACCCAAGGGCAGTGATGGTCAAACTTTTCAACGCAGTTGTTGCAAATAGAGCAATGAGAACATCGAGGCGGTCTATAGAGCATGCAAGTGTCACAGTACTTGACCTTAAATATAGCTCCATTAAACTCTACTTCCTTAATGCGAGGAAGACGCAGTTGTGGAGTCTGGCCAGCTCCTGCATCCATGTTTCCGTCAAGGGGTTCAGGCTCTGGAGGATGAGCATTTCTCGGGATGATTCCTGGATCTCTTCCGGATGTTAGAAGCAGAAGAATTATATCCTGAGGAAATGAATTGCTGGAATATAAAAAAGGCTTTGGATAGTGAAGACAATGACACCAAATAACATTATGGACATTTCTCGGTCATTTGAGCATCTGCAAGGTGCAAAGCGTTAAAGCAATACTTACATAAATGGTGAAGACGACAGCGACAGCTACTATAGATACTCCCCAGTTATCAGAGAAGTCATCCATTAGCTTCCTGGCGACAAAGATGCAAAAAGCTGTAACAGGGATAGCAATGAGGCATATTGTCAGCGCCAATGATCTAACATCTGGTCCGAATACAAATCTTCCCTGAAGAAAGAATATCTGAAAAAAAAAAACAGAATAATCATATGTTAATTCCAAAAATTGGAGGAAGCATGTCTCCCAGAGCTATTTTCCAGTAACAAGAATCATCTTGAATGAACAAATAAGTGGTCAAAAAGTATTCAGAGTCTACAGTCAACTCGCAGGTGAGAGAACAGTTAGCAAATATCCAGAGGCTTTAGTGTGTACAAAAGAGAAGAATATTCAGTAAAATCACTATAAATAGGCATCAGCTATATATATATAAAATCTCAAATTGCACATCTGTTTATCCAAAGTAAATCAATCCATCATTGAGCTATCACTAAACAGTGGAAATCATATATTAAAAACTAAAGTTAACATTCATTCTCTGTTAGAGCTTAGAAAACCATTTTAAAAGGGTAATCACCTCTAAAGGTTATGCAACTAAAGGAGAAACCTTTTGAAAACGACATAAAAAAAAAACCTAGGATTCTAAAAAAAGAATTACTTGTCTGAATCCATACAAGAAACCACGGTTCCAATTTGAATTAGTTTAAAATTGGGACAGAACTAATCTAAATTCCATCTAAAAATAGGAGTAGCGAACAATTAATTTTTGGCTAAATCTAATCCACACTAGTAAAGAGTGAAGTAGCTGTAAGAACAACAGAAACAATAAAAAGGAAGAAACTTTTTATAAACACAAATAAAATCTTTGAGAAGAAACTCACGTTACTGCCTTTCCAAGTTTGATAAACCCTTAAATCACCATTGGATCCAGAATCAGATCGCTCGGGAGGAGTAGGCACTACATACATCTCTCCCCCTCAACTCTCAATTTCTATTTTTTCCTCACCAATAAAGAAACAAAAATGGAAACACACAAAGAAGAAGAATAATATCAGGTAAGGAGGAGGAAATGATAGTCTCCGGCGAATAGATTCCCGGCGAAGTAAAGCCGACAAGGACACGAGTAAGCCAGCGAAAAAGAAGGGTTCTTTTGTTTGGGTCTTGTTGCCCCCTCCAGTTTCTAATGGTGGGCCGTTCCCTCCCCCCTCTCTTACTCTTTTTTCCGTTTTATATATTTTTAAAAACAGAAAGTGACTTTTGTTCGATTTAGTAAACATGTATATATGTTAATAGTGATTATGGAAGTAGAGAATAATAGTGGATATATATGATCCCTCCGACAGAGTTTTATCTATAGGTTCGCATTATTACTATGTTAAATCAAGAAAGGAAACACAAATATCTTTCTTCCAATTATAACTTTTTTCTTAAAAAAATTTGGCTTTTTAATTTTAAACTAATTTGTAAGTTTACAAAATATATAGTTTTACTAGTAAACAATTGAGTTTTAAAAAAAATTACGGTAGTTTTTTTTGTGTGTCTGTTTTCGCACATATGTTACTAAGATTTTAACAAAAACTTTGGGAGATATGATTATTAAAAAATTCAATAATTTTGTTTAAAGATTGTGTGAGTATGCATTAATAGTTTAATAGAGATCGTTTATCCTAAACAAGTAATATGTTTAGAGCATCTTTAATAGTGTTTTATTTTCCATTTTTTACTTCATTTTTCATTTTAATGGTATTTTTTTTTTAATTTTTCAAATTTAGAAGGATTTAACAGTATTTTTTCCAATTTGAATAAAACAGTTTTTTTCCAATTTGAATAAATACTGTTCAAATTGGAAAAATACTTTATATAATAACATATTATGTAAAAATACTTTTAAGAACAAAATTTTCTTGTAAATTATTTGTATTAAACAAAACGAGTGAGATATTCGAAAATATTCACAAATTCCCACAAATATCAACATATTCTCATATATCCGTATTTTTAGAGTTGAAAAATCTAAATACTAGATATATATAAAATTCTAAACAAATCAAAAATGAAAATAACTATTTGTAAAAACAGAGGATGTAATACACAGGGCCGGTCCGTTTCTATCATAGGCCCTGATCATTTAAGAAATATGCACCCTTACCCTTAGTTATTGCTCATAACCATACGATTATATTAAAAAAACAGAGGATTATCTTACATCAAAAACTAAATAAGAAAAACAGAGTATTTTGTTATAAGAAACAGAATTCAATAATGAATCAATGTGTGAAAAAAACTATCAAGATTTTTTTTCAAAAAAAAAACCGAAGCAAAACACAACAGAATATATAAGAGATTTGTGAAAAAAAAGAAATCTAGTTTTGGATTAAAAAATCTGAACCAAAACATTTGGGTCTAACCCAAAAAAGTAAATTCTAGGCATGTTTTAAAAATAACTAAAAATCTTGTCCAAAATCCTTGGGCCTAGGCCGTCGCTTCCCTTGCTTTCTTCTATGGGGCAGACATGGTCATCTAGCGTACCTACTACTTCGCTGGTGGTTGGCCTAGAGTTTACTTCTTTACTCAGACACATAAACGCCAATATAAGAGCTCTTCTCACATCTTCTTCCATGTCAGACCTCGCGTTGTTAACATCAGTAATGCAAAGGCATGGCTTGGAAGAAATTGTAAGAAGAGTTTTAGTATAGGCTTTTATGTGTCTCAGAAAAAAAGAAAAGCAAACACTAGACCGGCCATCAGCGAAGTAGTGGATACTCTAGATGAATTACTTGAGTTGGCAAGAAACAATAAGAAAATGAGCATTTGAAATGGACAGGAGTAAAGTGGGAGAAAAAAGTTGACGTGACAGTGCGCTCACTGAAAGAGATGACAAAGATGTTGAAGGTTAATGAAAAAGAAGAAGAAGAAGAAAATGAAGATTTGGCTAGAGAAAGAGTTTTTGCTGAGACTTTTAAATGGGCTGAGAGTTTGAGAGCATTAAGGAGAAAGAACAATGAGGAAATAGCTACATAAACACTCTGCTTTTATAATAGAAGAGTGATCCTTAGGTAGGGGGGATTCCAAGGTTAAATTGCAGGAAAGAATAAATGATTTGAGGAAATAATCTGTATTAGATACATTCTATAAAGTAGGATATCTCACTATATTCAATATGAATGACGCGTGTATGTGGTCCATATCCAACCAATCTCATAAGGATAACACCAAAGACTAGTCCGACTCAAGGTCTCATACAAACATAAGGTCATAAAGACAGGAACTGTAAAAGAGAGTCAATAAGATTTGTATGTGTTAGAGAAACAGACATATATGTACATACTAGTGGTCCGTCCGCGCTGCGCGCGGGTTATCGGATATTTGTATTATTTAAAAATTTTAAATTATTTCTTGGTTTGTAATGTAATATTTTTATTGTGTTTTGTTTATGAGAATGGTCTATTATGATATCAATGTGATGACATTAGGGTTAAATGGTGGACATTTGGAAATTATTTTAAAATTCTTGAGTCATAGATTTTATTTTTTTGTTTGACAAATTTTATTTTTTTCAGGATCAGAGATAATAGCTATGAGAATATTTTTCATAAAAGTTTATTTGAAAACAAAGTCTAACAATTTATTGTAAAAGCACAATTAAACAAAACCTTTGGAAGAAATTGAAGAGGAACATAAATGTTCAACTTACACTAAGAAACAAAACAAATAAATCAAAAGTGGAAGGAGTACGTCATCATGTTAATGGTAAGCACGTTTCCCGTATAGGCCTTCTTTTAGTTAAGGTGATCACTGAAACCCATTATCCTTTTGTAGAATTCGGTTACCAAAAAGAAGTGGAAACAGTTGGAGCAAACCGTAATCTCCGTCCCCTGTTGAGGATGGCAGTTCTGGGGTGGCCACATCTTCTTTAGTGAGGTAAGACATATATTCTTCATGTGAAATTAGAGGTTCTCAAGAGATTGATGAAAAATCGCCATACAATCTTCTAGACTGGAATACCTTGCTCATCAGTGAATTTGTTAATGTTTTTAACCCCTAAGTCAGTTTCGCCGATGGCCATAAGGAGGACGCCGTAAACGTATCTTCCTCAGAGGTGACCACCATTTTAGGCAATGTGGATGTGATGTAGACCTAGGGACTGATTTCGAGTTTCGAAAAATTCTAGCATGCCTTTAACATAGTGAGCGTCAACATTGTTCGCGTTGAGGCAGTTTTGCACCAACTTTTGTTACCGATGAGCTAGAGCAAGCTTCTTCACCAAAGGTGAGAGGTTGAGATCCTTTGCAACAAAGAAGTTCTCAGAACTGAAACTGAGGGTTTTGGATGTCATAATTGTGTTGAAGTAGTCGGTGGGGGGGGGGGGTCATACCCTACTTTGGAAACAATTAGGAGACGCATGTCTTCGGGCATGAATTCAAGGGTGAGGGTATTATGTTGTTTTGGATTCATGAAACTCATCGGAAAATGATCGAGGTTTTTTTTTTATTCTAACGCTGTCCTTATTAGTTTATTTGTGTTGTGCACTTGTTTATATAGAACGTTGGACACGGTGTTGATTGTAACGTCGTTTACGTTTTTAAATATAATTATTGAAAGCCATAATTTTTCCTTGAATTTCTTTGAGGTTTGATTGTTATTATTTATGTTGTACCGTTACATGTATGCTGAGTGGGTTGATGTGTAATTTATGGTTATTAAAAATTAACCGACCGGATTTCCTTATGATTTTGCTTGGTTTTAATACTTATAATATAATTTGAAAGATAATTATATGTGGGTATCGAATAAACCTTTTTTGGTTTGCTGGACATTAAATAAGTTTGTATTTGTTGCAAACGCCATAGATTTGTAGAATAATTTTAAAATTATTTTGAGGGTTTGATTTACCTTTTTAGGTATTTATTATCATTATCTGAAATATATGTGTCTGTAACGTGGCACTAAACGCAAAAAAAAACTTCAAATTGCTTTAGTTTTGGTATTATAGATGATTTATGTCATTATTTGTTGTGTTTCCGTTTTAACAACAAAAACTTAAAAAATTTTGGGCCTCTACCACACAAAATAGCCAGTCCAACAACAATCACAAAACCGACAAACAGAAAACCAATTGAAACCGAAATGGGAGAGATAAATTTTGTTTGGTCTATTTGGTTTAGGTTATTGCTGACATGGCTTTTTTTGTCCCCCTCACAAATGCTGATGTGGATGCATGAGAAGGGAGAGAAGCCTACTTTATTGTATAAGATTATAGAAATAACATGGACCATAGTAAAATTGAAATGCCACTATTATCATTTCGTAGCCTCTTCATTAGAAACCTTATTTGTGATGGAGCCACCATGTGATGTGAGAGAGCTGCTCTAAAACCTCTGAAACGATTCTTTTCATCTTTAATCTCTCTGTCATCTAATTTCACTTTTAACATCAGAACCTTAATTGGTTTCTTGCATTTTTGCTACCCTCTCTCTCTCTCTCTCTCTCTTTGAACACTGCAGAGCCTTTACTCCATCAGACAATCTCTTCTGTTCATTTATAAAGAGAAACCAAATCTTAAAAACAAATTTTAGGGATAAAATTAGGTTCTTCTCAGTTTCTCTCTGACTTTGTCACAGGTCAAAGAAAGAGACATGTATAAGAATCAGCTGCAAGAGCTTGCACAAAGAAGCTGTTTCAACCTCCCATCATATACTTTTACTAGAGAAGGACCAGATCATGCTCCACGATTCAAAGCTTCTGTCAACTTCAACGGTGAAATATTTGAAAGCCCCACTTGTTGTTCCACTCTCAGACAAGCTGAACACTCAGCTGCTGAAGTTGCTCTCATTGCTCTCTCTTCAAAGGGCCCTTCAAAGTCTTTAACTGCTAGAGTCCTTGTAAGTCTTTCCCCCTCAAATCATGCACTATTCTTCTCCATCTCCCATCTTATTTGATTTGTTCTCTCTAAGGATGAGACTGGGATCTACAAGAACCTGCTTCAAGAGACAGTACATAGAGCTGGTCTTGATCTACCGGTTTACACAAGTGTGAGATCAGGACCTGGTCACATCCCAACGTTCTTTTGCATTGTGGAGCTTGCTGGAATGTGTTTTATTGGAGAGTCAGCAAAGACTAAGAAGCAAGCTGAGAAGAATGCTGCTATTGCAGCTTGGTACTCCTTGAGAAGAAGTGAACTAATACTAAAACTTTTAAAAATCAATTTGATAGTTGATAAATCTTTAATGTTATTAATGTCTCCACACAGTGCCAAGCTTGGACTCTCAGGTAGAGAAAAGAGGTGAAGAGAAAGAGCAAGAAGTAGTTTCAAGAGTCCTCTCAAGATTTAAACCCAAAGAAGTGAGAAGAAGGGAGACTAATCAGTCAAGAAGCAGAACAATTCGTCAAGACAAAACAACAACACGAGACTTGTTGTCTGAGAAGCTCAGATTGATCAATCCATACATCAATGAACCTTCATCTTCATCATCATCACTGAAACACCACCAAACACAACAATCAAGAACAAATCTCCAACAACAACAACAACAATCCAGGGTCAAGTCATTGCTAGAAAAGTCTCGAGAACATGCAGTGATAAAACAGAGCATCAATGATTCAAAGACAGAGATGATAATAAAGTCGTCATCAATGGAGAGAAACTGTTACAGTAAGCTTTTGCCGTTTCCAGAAATGTTTGCAGGAGGGTTTCAGAAACTGGCTCCAGCTGTTCATATTAGATCAGTGATCCCAGTTTGTTCATCTCCTCCACCGAAACTTAATCAAAGCAACACATCACTTAGACCTTCTTCTTCTGTTCCAAGCTCACTGGGAAGTGGAGACCAAGAGAAGAAGTCTCTGAGATTAGAATCAAAATCTTGATCGAACCCATGATTAAAGTTCGTATCTTTAGATAAACCCATGCTGATGATCTTTATGTTCGTTGTGTTGATCTTTTTTTTTTCTTTTTTGAAAATTTAAGGTCTGACATCACTTCAGTGCTCTGTTTTGTACATAGAACAGAGGAAAAAACAGAGTTCTCAGAGAGTGAAAGAGAGAGCAATAAATGTAGGAGGGCAGAGGATAAGATGATGCAATAAAAAAAGTTAATGGCATTTGTTTTTCGCGGTTAATGCACCGATTGCTCTGCTTCTCCTTCTCTCTCTCACATTCATTAAAGGCTCTGTTTTTCAAAATAGTTTGTTTCGTTAGTTTTTAAAATACGGTTAAACGGCTACGTAAACAGAAATTATTGACTTTATATTAACCGGGTTGATTCTTGATTTTTTAGATAGAGATTGATCACACAATTAAACAAATCTTCATTAGATTCTAGAGGATTATAAGATGATGAACTGCTCTAGAGCAAAACACTTGATAAACCTTTTTAATAATTGGTTATATCTCCTGCATTATAATAATATGCTTTAGTAAAAATAAGGGTTGACCATTGACATCGCTCGTCTACATTAACCTAACCAAAAATTAGCTAAAACAATTACCCATAAAACAGCGTACTACAAGTTTAGTTATGTTGTGGTTTAGCTGATTTTATTTTGGTTATGTTGAATTTTATAGAAATTTAAATTTTTGTACTGTTTACAATGATAAAAAGCTCAGGAAAAAATAGTTTAGGTGCTCTAAGATAATGTAGACTTGGGATGTCAACACTACACAGAAAGAAACCTCTATTTTAACTAAGGTTTCCATTACAAGATATGAGTCCATTACAAAACAGTTGATAAATTTATATTTTCGTTAACTACATCGTGGTGGTCTATTGATTTCCATTAGATTAGGAATCGCCATGTTGCTCCAGGCCGAAAATCTATTTTCTTCTAGTGTGAAATTCTTAACTCCTCATGTGGTTATAAATAGCGTAGATCTCTAATTCTCACGTAAAACAATTGGGCTTGTCTGTCACTGATGGATAAACTTAGGCCTGGGCATAAAATCCGAAATCCGAAATCCGAACCGAACCCGAACCCGAACCGAAAAACCCGACCCGTTATCCGATCCGAAATGTAAAAATACCCGAACGGGTCTTATAGGATGGTATAAAAAAATCCGAACCCGAAGTGTTATTTAACCAAACCCGAACGGATAACCCGAAATATCCGAAATTAATATAAATATTTTAAACATATATATATATATATATATATTTAGATATTCAGTTTAATGTTTATTTTGATATGATACATACAATCAATATTAAAATATAAATAAATACCTTAAATATATAATTAGTTATAAATAAGTACATTGTAATTTGTTCATTAAAATAATAAATTTAGTTTATATATAAGGTAATGCACATTGTTTACAAGTGATGTATGTTTTAATGATTGATTTAGCATTTTTTTATCAATTTTATGTATGTATGATTAATTTGTATTCAGTTTCAGTGTTTTTCTCTATGTTTTTGTTTCGAAATTTTGTTTTATACTTCGGGTATATCCGAACCGAACCGAAATAACCCGAATCCGAACGATATATGGTTACTTTACGGTTTTATGCTGCAATACAAATTTGAACCGAACCCGGAGTGTTATTATCCGAACCCGGAGTGTTATTATCCGAACCCGGCCCGTACTAGTAAAATATTAGAATGAGACCTATGAGCGTAAACCCGAAAACCCGAAAATCCGAAAAACCCGATCCGAACGCCAACGGGTACTCGAACGCCCAGGCCTAGATAAACTCCTAAAGAATTAGTCGGTTGGGTCTCGATCCGCCGGACATCTTTGGTTTAAAAAAAACTTATATTCTTCTTACTGAATTCTATCATTGAAGGAAGATGAATTAATAGTTTTGGTATGGAATGGTTAGGAAGATATAACCAACTTTGCTAAAAAAGAAGTTTTTCTTTAGTTCTCTAATTTAAGTTACGAGACAATTTAGAGGATAAGAATCTCCCATGAAATCTGTGGTTCTATGGTTGTGCTGGGTAAAAAAGATTCATTTGACTTTCCTTTCCCTAGTGTTGGATGTAATCTTCCTTTAGCTTCATATTTTTTTTCTTTCATCAACCATTATTTTTTTTACCTATGCTCCGGCTTTTCCAACAACATGGGTTGTGTTGTTTCAAGGCCTGAGACAAATGAAGGAGGAGATTATAAACTTATAACTCGCCGAGGATCTATCGGTAAAGATAGTGAAATTTCTGAGAGCATCGTATTAGATCAAGAATTGTCTACACATAGCAAAAAGTCCAAAACAGGTGGTGAAAAGACATGTAAGGAAGAGGAAGATGGATGCAAAAATGCACAAGAAGAGAGAGGAGAGGAGCTAAGACTTTCACCATCTCCTAGTTTTCGTATTTATTGTGTTTTCCCTCGTGATCCTAATGATGACAGTTAAGTTCGTTTATTTACTAATGTTTCTTATAAAATAGTATAGTTTTTGTTTGGTAGAAACTAAAACTACATTTGATTATTATATGTGTAGACGTGGTTGATGATGTGCCACGGAACAAGAACATATCAGAAGGAAACAAGGTGGTATCTACGAAAGAAAAGGCACACACAAAATTTGCATGTTTAAAAGGTTGCGTTAAGTAACTCCAGAGGGGGAAGACATGTCTTAGATCTTCAATTTTGTATAAAAACCAGTTTGAAATCAGAAACACAAACATACTCGGTTAGAAACTTCACATGCATGCATTATTTTCTTTTTGGGTTTGGATAAAAATAGCTTTACTATATATGTAATCAGAGCTCTCCCTGAGGGCAAGCAAGCCAAGGATGTGCTTGTGGCCTTCCATATAATACATAAACATTTGGCCATTTTTCTCTCTAAATTATCCCCATAAGAAGAGCTGATTATGCATATGGAAAGAATAGGTCGCTGGTTCGAGTATCCTTCTTAACTTAACATGTTTTTTTTCTTAAATGTAGCAATTTATAGGTGTTAAATTTTTTAGCTTAGGCCCCATGTAACATCAGGGCCAGCATTGTATATAATAATAAATTTAATTACAACTATAAACCAGAAAAGTGATTAAATAAGCACCTAAATGTGTCTGTGTATACACCAAGATGTGTCTATGTACATATATGTAACGTTTTTGTGTTAAAAACTAAACATATTCTTTCTATATATAAAATTTTTCATCATCATATAAATAATTTTAATTACACAACTAATATTTGAAAATACTCATAAACTTAAAATATTTAGTAATAAATTAATATCATTTTTAGACAACAAAAAATGTATAAAAAATTATCTTTAATAATGTTTTGGATAACACAATATAAATTATCTATACATAAATTCTTTGTAAATTTATTTTTCATAATTAACTATATATTAACAAATAGAATTATTTTTCAACGTTAATAAAGACTTTATAACACAATATAAAAAAATTCGATAAGGATAATTATCAAATTCATGACATTCATTTTTTAATTTAGAATTAATTATATATTAATAAATATAATTATTTTTTAAGGTTGATAAAGACTTTATCACATAATATAAAAAATTTAAGATAAGGATAATTATCAAATAAATAAAATTCGTTTTTAATTTATAATTAATTATATATTAACCAATTAATTATTTTTCAAGGTTAATATAGACTTTATAACCCAATATAAAAGAGGTTTAGATAAAGATAAATTTAAAATCACTGAAATTCGTTTTTCTTAGATTTGCATTTTTATATAAATTTATTCTATTAATTCTTCTCAGTTATCTAAGATAATAACATACTAATCTAATTTTATTCTTTAAATTTCATTTTTAATTATAAAATTAGTTATATATAAAAAATTCATTAAAGGTAAAATTAATTATATATTAATAAATATAATTATTTTTCAAGGTTGATAAAGACTTTATCACATAATATAAAAAATTTAAAATAATGATAATTATCAAATAAATAAAATTCATTTTTTAATTTATAATTAGTTATATATTAACCAATATAATTATTTTTCAAGGTTAATATAGACTTTATAACCCAATATAAAAGAGTTTTAGATAAAAATAAATCTAAAATCATTGAAATTCATTTTTCTTAGATTTGATTTTTTATATAAATTTATTCTATTAATTCTTCTCAGTTATCTAAGATAATAACATACTAATCTAATTTTATTTTTAAATTTCGTTTTTAATTATAAAATTAGTTATCTATACTATTATTTGCGAAGTGATTTTTCGCAACGGCGCTCTCACGTTAAAAGTTAGAGCGGTTAATATCTATTTTACCCTTCATGAAATTTTTATATAAATCAGCCAAAAATAAAAACGAATCTATACTATTATTTGCGAAGTGATTTTTCGTAACGGAGCTCTCACGTTAAAATTTGGAGCGGTTAATATCTATTTTACCCTTAATGGATTTTTTATATAAATCAGCCAAAAATAAAAACGAATTTAAAACTTATTTGATTAGATAAATGATTTAAATTAATAATAATGATAAGAATTATCCATAATCTAAATATATATTTAAAAATAAAAAGATAATTCCTATATAGATATTGTGTTGTTATCTATACTATTATTTGCGAAGTGATTTTTAGCAACGGAGCTCTCANCAACGGAGCTTTCACGTTAAAAGTTAGAGCGGTTAATATCTATTTTACTCTTAATGAATTTTTTATATAAATCAGCCAAAAATAAAAACGAATTTAAAACTTATTTGATTAGATAAATGATTTAAATTAATAATAATGATAAGAATTATCCATAATCTAAATATATATTTAAAAATAAAAAGATAATTCCTATATAGATTTTGTGTTGTTATCCGGAAAATATATTTTAATTAAAAAAATCCAAAAACTGAAAACACATAAATAAATATTCATAAAGTAAATTTTTTAATTGTATACAATTCAAAAAAGAAAATTGAAAATTTATAATACGTAATTATTTTCAAATTAAAAGAATATAATAATATAATATAATGATATATATATGTGAAGTTATTTTTCGCCTCTGAACTCACATGTTAAATTAAATTTATATTTATATTTTATATAGTTAAACCTTAAGAAAATACGTGTTTGACAAAAATAAATCCAAATATATTGTATGATTATCTAAACTAATGTTATTCTTTCTGTAAAATCAATTTTTGAATGTAAATTTATCGATTCAATTTTTCAAATTTTTTTATCAATTAAGAAGAAATGAAATAGACTTTAAATTTTTCAAAGTTTCAAATAAAAAATTAGTTTGTAAATAACTTTATCATGTAAAAAAGTTTAATGTTTTAGGTCGAATTTTTTGAAATGCGAATAATCATTTATTTTGATGTTTTTTTAAATCTATCTATACTATTATTTGCAAAGTGATTTTTCGTAACGGACCTCTCACGTTAAAAGTTAGAGTGGTTAATATCGTTTATACCCTTAATGAATAAAATATATACATCAGCCAAAAATAAAAACGAATTTAATACTTATTTGATTAGATAAATGATTTAAATTAATAATAATGATAAGAATTATCCATAATCTAAATATATTTTTAAAATAAAAAGATAATTCCTATATAGATATTGTGTTGTTATCCGGAAAATATATTTTAATTAAAAAAATTCAAAAACTGAAAACACATATGTTCATAAAGTAAAATTTTTAATTATATAATTCAAAAAAGAAAATTGAAAATTTATAATACGTAATTATTTTCAAATTAAAAGAATATAATAATATAATATAATGATATATGTATGTGAACTTATTTCTCGCCTCTGAACTCACACGTTAAATTAAATTTATATTTATATTTTATATAGTTAAACCTTAAGAAAATACGTGTTTGACAAAAATAANTGTAAAAAAGTTTAATGTTTTAGGTCGAATTTTTTGGATGCAAATAATCATTTGTTTTGATGTTTTTTTAAATTTATTTAAAGATAATTAAACTTATTTGATTAGATAAATGATTTAAATTAATAATAATGATAAGAATTATCCATAATCTAAATATATATTCATATAAAAATATTTTAATGTTTGATTTAGGTTTTTTTAAACTATAAAAATAATTGTATATAATTCAAAAAAGAAAATTGAAAATTTATGATACGTAATTATTTTCAATTTAAAAGAATATAATAATATAATATAATGATATATGTTTATATTTATATTTTATATAGTTAAACCTTAAGAAAATACGTGTTTGACAAAAATAAATTCAAATATATTGTATTATTATCTAAACTAATGTTATTCTTTCTGTAAGATCAATTTTTGAATGTAAATTTATCGATTCAATTTTTCAAATTTTTTTTATCAATTAAGAAGAAATGAAATAGACTTTAAATTTTTCAAAGTTTCAAATGAAAAATTAGTTTGTAAATAAATTTATCATGTAAAAAAGTTTAATGTTTTAGGTAGAATTTTTTGGATGCAAATAATCATTTATTTTGATGTTTTTTAAATTTTATTTAAAGATAATTAAACTTATTTGATTAGATAAATGATTTAAATTAATAATAATGATAAGAATTATCCATAATCTAAATATATATTCATATAAAAATATTTTAATGTTTGATTTAGGTTTTTTAAAACTATAAAAAATAACTTATAATATTATTTTAGAATTAATAAATATTCGTAAGAAAATTAAGCCCGCATGTGCGGGCAAAACACCTAGTATATAAAAAAAACATTAAGGGTAAAATGGATATTAACCGCTATAACTTTTAACGTGAGAGCTCCGTTGCGAAAAATCACTTCGCAAATAATAGTATAGATAGATAAAGAAAAAATTAGTAAAGTATATATATATATATATATATATATACTATTTTAGATGATAAAATTATTACACATTTTAAATTGTTATCAAAAATTGAAAAAAAGCAATCTACAAATATGAACATAAATTAAAATCAAATATATGTGTTTCATTAAACTAAAATTTTATTTAAAAAAACCGTGATTCGAAATCACGGATCAAAAACTAGTACATTCTATAAAATCTGTTGAACTGAAAAGCACAGTAAAAGTTACAAAGTACCCTATAATATGTATTTTCATTTGAATATAAGCTGGCATCTGTTTGAATCCTTGACAACACTTTTCAAATCTTTCACCACCTCAGCTCTCTTTTTAGGCTTGATACGCTTTGTGGAGAAAATTGCTCTCTTCAAACTAAATGCGTTCCCCAGAACGTATTTCGCCACTTGCTTCTCATCTTCTCGTTGCCATTTGTAGCCTTTCCATATGAATATCTCAAGATGAAACCAAAAACATCTAGGAACATTTTTTGGTTGTTTCCATTCCCCACGACCCACATAATCTTTTTCACAATGCCATCGCTGATGAGACCAATGTGGGAGGAAAGAAAACCTGCGTTATTATTATATCACCAAACCTAGCTAAAACCCATATTGGAAAATTTGCTAATAGATGAAAACATTACTTACGTTGATGAGCTTGAGGGTTTTCAATTTAGGAGAACTATCAAGCATAATGGTAAGTAGATTCCACCACGCTTCTTTATATGCATGTAGCTCCAAATACACCAGGTGATCAAAGATGTTACCGGTAGTAAACTTAATCTATGCATGAAGTAATATTAGTATAAATAAGAAGCAATTTAAAGACAAATAAATTGTATGAATTGCAAAAAAAAAAACTTAAATTCCACCTTCAAAGGAGATATTCTCAATGAAAGACGTTTGACTGAAGTTAGAGATTCTATAAGGTTCTCATTGGATATACTAGAGACATCAATGATACTTGCCTCCACCAGTTCCATAACATTCTCAATTAGACAAAACCCGAGACCAGAAATCCCTTTAATCTTTAAGAGCTTCAAGGAAGGAGCATTTATGGCATAGCCCCAATCTGGTTGTCCACCATTGCTATTATAAATTGATAGCTTCTCTAAAGATGGTACGGATATAGTGAATGTCTTCACACTGCTATGTGAATATCTATGCACCGTCAAAGTCTTGAGATTAGGACAGCCACCTAAAAAGTTAATAACTGAATTTTGGTCCTGGTATTCCACATAGTGAAGGTGCAGATTTCTAAGGGATTTGTTACAAACCGAAGAAGGGACATCCATATGAACATTATTCTTGAGTTTCAAGGTCACTAGTGTACCAAAATTTAACAAGCTTCTAGGAAATCTGAACACTTCTCTAGATCGAACTTCGAGAACCAGCTCGTGCACATGGAGAGCTAATGCAATTCCAAGCAAGATTCCAGTATCCTTTGCATTACATCTTTCTAGATGAACAATGAGATATAAACTCTGTAAGACCGGAGCCATGTGTGAAAGCAAAGTCTTGCAAGCATTATTTGAAAACGTTCCAAGTTGACGTTTGTGATCCACATAGTCAAATTTGAGTTTAGGCATCATCTTCCAATGATATTTCCATTGTTTCGAAAAGAGACTTGTGGCTATGGCCACTTTCATAGGAAGTAGACACAATATCGACAAGATCAAAGCCTCAGGTAATTGACTGATCCTGTCAGCGTTCTCAGCATTCTCAAGGTCTTGATTGCTCATGCTCTTGGCAACTCTTTTGCTTTCAAAACAAAAATTCAAATTGAACAACCAAAAAACACTTGGTCTGAGTTTTGATAAAAATTTGCTGTTTCGTGTAGGAGCAAGGCTGAGAAGGATACCGGATAATTAGACGGCGGAATTTAGGGCTTCTTTTGTGTTCTTTTTGACTAATGCTGCCACATGATAACAAACAATTTTAGGTGTCGTTGTTGAGAGTCAAACTCGGGTTAAGTGGGTTCAGACAAGTTGGTTTGAGTTAAGAACATCTAAAACATACAAAGAGACCGACCTCGAGTATCTACTGTGTTGTTAAGAATGAAGCTGACTTAAAACAGCTTTTCTGTCGACCTCCAAAGCCACGCGAGATGTACTGGTCGAAGTTGCCTGCTGTATTGATAGAAAGCTGCACCAACACCAAACCAATAACGACCGACAAACCTCCGAACCTAAAAGTCTATTTTAAACTAAAATTATAAAATGTACAACATTATCTGTCGTGTTTTTTTTTTTTGGATAAACAAAAGTATTGTCGTTAGATAAAGATAAATATTTGGTGACAATCCAAATAAATTTGCTATATCGTGTAGAGAGCAAGGCTGAGAAGGATACCGGAGAATTAGACGGCGGAGTTTAGGGCTTCTTTTGTGTTCTTCTTTTTGATAACAACTATAGTCAACTTCTAATGATTAAGAAAATATAAAAACTATAATCAACTCCATTAGCTACCTTTTTTCTTTGTTGGGCCAACATATGGGTCTTAGACCACCCGCAACAAGGGGTCCTTAGGAAAAAATTTTAGGAAAACATTATTTTTATAATTAATGGGTCTCATGAACAGTTAAGGATTTTTCTTTAAAATCCTTATGTAAGGATTGATCCTTATACTATTCATGGTCTCCTCTGCACACGTGTCGGTCCACGATTGGTCAGGTTTTTTTATTTTAAATAAATAATCTGAAATATCCTTATATAATATGAAATGCCTTTTTTTCTTTTTTCCTAAGGATTCCTGCTAAGGATCTCTTGTTGCTGATGTTCTTAGGATTGAAGTTTATCTGACTAAAATGAAATTTATTGAATTTTATTAAACGTATCATTTTGGAATCTTACAGAACTACATCCACAAACTATTTCTCAAAATACATGTTGAGTATAGTATAATTTCGAAACAAAATTCAAGATATCAAAAACGTTAGTTAACTAATATACATGTTCACAATATTTTTTCCAGAACGCAAGAAACTGGTGTAAAAATTTTGATGTGTCATGTATGTTATGTTCTCTTTGGTTATCTCTCGGCCTCGTTCTTATTGTTCAATCAAATTCCCTCCTGGATTCAGATTATGAACTTCGATAAGTCTTTTGTTACCTAACTTCCAATTGCCAACAAGATAACAGCTACCTAAACCACGTGTCTGACCACCAGAGGTTTCACATTTTCTCTCCGGAGAATGGTTTACCATTTTTTTAACAACTACCTAAAAGATCACAAACCTCAACATTATATAATTACATTATAACTTTTATCTATTCTAACTACAAATACTCTATCAAAAACTTCATATGAGTGCATTGATTAAATAGCATTTGAAAAACATTACCATTTGGTAAATATTTTTCTAAATATTGTTTGGATAATAAAAACATAATGAATATGCTAAAACTATGCCAATCAAACCCTACGTGTTGTTTCAGCAATGTTCGCTTCAAATTTGACACTGTCATATTGTATTTGATGATTTTGGTTTGTGTATATACACTGCTTCTGAATCATGACATTGGTTTTTCGGAATGGCTATTATTGCTTAACTTGTTCTAGTTTTTTTGCAGAATATAGCTATATGCTTGTTACAAATTTCACCAAGACGTGCACATGAATTTAGATTGGTGAAAATTTACTGAAACGACATGTTCGAATGGAATCAGATCTCAACAATCAGTATGGAAAAGATATGGATAATAGAAAAGTGAATAGACTACTTTCCAAAATGAATGGTATTCTGATTCTTTAATTTAAAGGCATTCTATTTTTTTTATTTGGTCAAACCTTTTTATTTCCAAAAGAGGTGATATCTATATATGTAAGAGATCGTGAAACTTTTTTTTTCCTATTTTGGAATTTCGAAGGAAATGAATATAAATTTAAGTTTCTAAGTTAGAGAAAAAGTCAAGAACAACTAGCCCATACCAGAAGGCATAAGATTCAAAGGACCATAACTATGACACAATGCGCTCAAGATAGGAAGAGGGACCACAAGACTTCAAAGCTACCTCTATTTATTTCAACAAAGAATAGTTTCTACTTTCTACGTCTGATATCCACCAATGAAATACGATATAAAAATTTATAAAATGGACCGACAAAGAAACAAATATTATCTTAATGACCAGAAAATGGTCCATTAAAGGGTACATATTCCGGTCATGGAGAATACAAAATGACCATATTTAGCCCATACAAAAGATTCATTTTAGAAATTCAATAGGCAAAAATATTCCTTCCCAAGGGTTATAAAAAGATGGCATTTGGTTGTGAGGAATGAGTACAAACATAGTGTAGTAATAACGAGGAATAGAAGTCTAACATGGCGAAAAGAGTCATGTTTAGTAGCCAAGGATGACTTGCCTGCTCTTTTTCACCTCCATGATTCAATTTTATAGTTGAAGGGTTTTGGATTATTATGCATTGATAAAGTATAATAATTCAAAATCATATTGAATCTTTGTGGGTTAGGTTTCAGGCAGTCTCCTTGGCTATTTTGACATGCTTTTTTCATCCATGTTATACATACTTTCCTTTCTATCTTTTTAATCCACCTAAATTTTTATTAAATTTACTACCAAATTTATTATCGTTTGATCCATCTATGATGAAGCCTTATTCAAAAAATGCGTTTGCTACAAATGTTTGTAGTGGGTGACTGAGTGAATGCATTGTTTAGAAGGAGATGTCAAAGATGAATAGGAGAATCATATTTGGTAGCCAAGGATGACTTGCCTACTTCTTTGAGAATTAAGATGGTCATGGTATCATATCATGTTTGAAAGATGAATTTATCTCAACTAGTGACCATCTTGCTTATAAAGATACTAGGCAGTCTCCTTGGCTATCCTTATATGTTCTTCTCTCTCATCTCAGACATTTACCTTCATCCAAATAAGAGAAACACGACATGAAAGATCATGGAAAGGTAATGTTTCTTTGAGCTATATATAGTGTATAAATGTGTGTTTTACATTTTGGGTATACATCAATTAGCTAGATATAATGTATATACAATACACCATGCCCACAAACACACATATTTATAGTATTCAGTTAATGTGTTATCCAAAAGGTTATTCGGAATAAGCTTGTGATGTACATTAATTTTGTCTATAAGGTCAGTCTGGAATTAAAAATTCATGTGTCGACTACAGAATTTGACAGTAGTGCACTTTGGTCAAAAACAGCTAATGGCTACCAAAGCCAAAATTATGTTGTAGTGTGTTTTTTATAAGAAAAAAAAAGTTAGCCAAAGGGTCTCTTCTATGGTTTACCAGCTGTTGTTACTTTCCGTGTCTCATCTAAGAGTATCCTCAAGGCCGTATGCCTAGTGAAACATTCGCTTCAGATCCTCCAAAATTTTTGATGAAAATTATATGAGTATAGGTTTCCAAAAAAATATTTTAGATTCTCAAAAATTCTTTTACATAGAAATCTTCACAGGCCCCCAAAATTTTAGGGCCGACCCTGAGTATCCTTTGGGTGTTTTATAGAATAAACCAATGGGATTTTGTAGTTTTGAATTTTGCTTGTCTTCTATGTTTTCTGCATTGAAATTTAGGTGTATTCAACTCCAATAGTTATAAAAAAATCTTAGGTGTTTGCTGCAATTGGTGTAGCGTACAATTCTTGGTGCATCCATGCACTGTTGATCACGTGTTATTCATTCCCGAAGGAAAAAAATCTTCAAACCTCTGACACCAAACTAGACACAAAACATTATCGTAATTAAGAGAGACGTTTTTCTTTTTTTTTTTGATTGACCTGGTAAGAGACCCGTATAGATTTCATACAATAACTGTCATATCCCAATCGTATTTTTTTGTTTCAAAGAATACTTTCTAATTCTGTATTTGAAATTGTAAAAGTTAAGAAATAGTTTAATCCAAAAATATGAAGAAGTGAAAAAGATCAGAACTGAAATTTTAACTAAAGATTAATCAATCAGAGATAGAGAATTTAGTAAAGAGAGAATGGTGAAGAAGAAATGGGAACTCCCCACTTTCAGCTTACATTTCATTAGTGTAGACAATCATTTTTTTTTTTTGGGCAAATAGTGTAGACAATCATATATCTAAAAACATACAAGTCAAAGAGTGATTAAAAAACACGTTGGATAAAAGAATGCATCAACTTCCAATAGCTCTATTTGCAAATTCAAACCATTTTGAATTCTCTCCAACAATTTTCTATGCCACTTGAAGTCAATTTAGACGAGCTAACATCATTACTTTATCTTACAAAGTAAGCTAGGACTTCACGCTTGAAGTTTGGCTTATTCTGGTGAAATTTTTTGAAATGTAGTGAAGTGTACTGAAATGCAGCGAAGTGCAATAAAATATATAGAATGTAACGAAGTGCACTGAAATGCAGCAAAGTGCAATAAAATATAGAGGATGTAACAAAGTCTTGTGAATTCTTTCTTTTCTCTTTATTTCTGCTTTATTTCAACTCCACCATCTTTCATGGCAGAATTTGACAACAATACATAATTTCAAATGATGCTGGTTTTGATGGTTTACTAGTCTCGGTTTCTTTAGTGGTGGTCTTTGAAGAACTAGTCCGGCAAAATTTGAAAACTGTTGTAGTTCGTTACATAGCGAGTTAATTAACTCTTTCCTAAATTCATAACAAGAAATAATAATTTGCAATATGCCTCAAATGATCGGTAGTTTTTCATGTCTATTAAAATATACTGATATTGTTTCAAAAAAGAGAGGTATTTATGAATACCTCATATAAGTACCGATGATGCTTGTGTTTGATTCTGTTGTTGCTTAACACTGGCTTTCTCTCTTCCTTATTGCTCTGCTCGAGCATCGAACACAGTCATGTGTTGCATTTATTTGCCTTCACAAACCAGACGAGCTACAAGAGTTAAGCGCTAGCTGCCACCTTTTAGTAAACCTAAACTATTCTAGCCACTCTGCATCACTCTTTTACACATACGCTCATATCTACAACTAACAAGTAACATTGATATCTATTTTGATATTTTTTCTTAAAATAATTTTTATTATAAAGATGAATTTTCTATGATATGTGTCTATATATAAGTAAATTCTATCTGAGTGTTACTTTTGACTCAATATTTAGAGATGAAAATATCAATTTTCCTATCATATTTTATAAGAAAATAAGAATTCTATGTTAAAGACATATTTGTATAAAAGTTACAAAAAGAGACATTTTGTATAATACATTTTTTTATTTTGAAAAATATATAGATTAATATAGATTTTGGTTAATAGTACTCAAATAAGAGTTAAGTGCCAGAAAAATTGATCTTTTATATGAGAGTTAGATTTTTTTGTAACTTTCGAAAATATTTTAGCCTATTTAATGCATAGTTTAAATCATAATCAAGCGATGATTACAGTTCTTTAAATAACGACCAAAACTGATTTAAAATATATAATTCGTTGACAAAATTTTAAAATCACAAAATAATTAAGACAAAAAATCTAACGAAGTTATAATATAAATTATGATATAACTACCAGTAATCTCCACAAGAACAAACCCCATTTTTGAAATGGTGAAACCGCTTGGCATCCCTAACCACAAACTCTCTATCAACAATCTTCGAAATCAACTTGATCACATTATGACAATCACTACAAACCCTCAGATTCTTAACCACATTAACCGTCGAGCCAGGAACCGTGTTCATGATCCCAAACGCAACAGCCAATTTCTCACTATGAACCCTCAGCGTCATCTCCTTCTCTTCCTCATCAACATCATGACACACAGATGCCGTGTTCGACACGTAACCTGCTTCCAACAGCTTCATATTCAACTCCTCTAAATACTCGTAAATCTTATCCCTCTCAGGATGCTCCTCGTCTCCAATCAAGAACACATGAACCTCACCGTTCAACTCAAGTAAACTAAACCCTGGAGGTTTCACCAATCCACGCTTCTTCATCACCGTCCTCACCCTCTCAACGTCCTTCCAACGCCCCGCATCAGCGTAGATATGCGAAAGCAACATGTAATAACCACAGTTCGAAGGATCCAACTCAAACAAACGCGCTACTGATATCTCAGCAAGCTCAACATTCTTGTGAATCCTACAAGCTGCAAGAAGCGAGCTCCAGATTACAGAGTCCGGCTTCATCTTCATCGTTTGTATCAACTCATACGCTCTCTGAAGATACCCTGCACGACCTAAAAGATCAACCATACAACCGTAATGTTCCAACCCCGGTTCCACCCCAAATCTCCCCTTCATGGCATTAAACCAACGCCAGCCTTCTACATGAAGACCCGCGTGACTGCAAGCAGCTAAAACAGAGACAAAAGTAATATAGTTTGGTCTAACTCCTGAACTTATCATAACAGGAAACAACTCTAACGCCTTAACCGCGTGTCCGTGCATTCCGTATCCAGCAATCATAGCCGTCCACGTCCTAACATTCTTCCATCTCATCCCATCAAACACTTTCCTCGCCGTCTCAACTCTTCCGCATTTGCAATACATATCAATTATCGAAGTACCAACAACAACATCATCCTCAAGACCCATTCTTATCACCTGATCATGTACACACTTCCCTACACGCAGAGCACCAGAATGCGAAACAGCTAACAACACAGTAGACAACGTGATCGAGTTAAAGGTCACACCTTTATCATCCATAAGTATCCGGAAAACATCAAAAGCCTCACTAGACATCCCATTCTGAGCATAAACACTCATAATCGAATTATAAGAAACACAATCTTTCTCCACAATATAATCAAAGATCTTTCTAGCAACACCCACACCTCCTTCTCTTCCCTTAGCATAAGCATCTAAAAGAGTGTTACCAACACTAACTCCTCTCTCAAACCCTCTCTTCACCACAAACCCATGAATACACTCCGTTAAACCCTTACCAGAACCAGCAACACGAGAACAAGCAGAGATGACAGAAACCATACCTTTCGAATCAACTTCATCCCCATTTTCATCCACCAACAAATCCTTGAATAGCGAAACGGCGTCGTGGGCATTACCGTTAAGATCAAACCCACGAATCATCGACGTCCAACAAACGATATTTCTCTCAGACATTTCGTCGAACACGTTCCGTGCATCTCCCACTTCCCCACAAGTCGAGTACATAACGATCAAAGCCGAAGACACGAACGTGTCCGATTGATAACCGAACACGAACGCTTGCTGATGTGTCTGTTTCCCGGAGAAGAGATCGAGAAGTGAGGAACAGGCCTTGATGGCGCAGGGGAGAGTGGAGCGGTTAGGGTGGAGAGAGAGTTTACGCATTGAGACAAAAGCGCGGAGAGCTTCGGAAGAGTCGTTGTTGCGAGCGAGGTCGGAGATGACGGAGTTCCATGAGAAGACATCGGTCTTGTCGACGTATCTGTTGAAGAGAGTTGTTGTTAAGTTTTTTTGGTGTCTCTCCGTGTGGAGGAGACGAGAGAGGGATGAGATGAGAGTTTTTTTACTTGGAACCTTCATTCATTCTTTTTTGTTTTGTTTTGTTCGAAAATCAAATATATGCTTAATTATATACCAGAACATGATTTTGAAATGGGGAAATTTTAATGCTATGATAAATTTGGTAGCACTGTTTAAATTTATAATTGTTGAATGACTATTTTATATATTCTAAATTTGTGATAAACTAATACTAAACTAATTTTTTAATGTTTATAAAACAATTAATTTGATTTAACTTTGGGGACTTGTGTCTGATTCCCAAATTCCACTGGATTAAGTGAAATTAGCTTTCATATACTAATGAGTGGTTACAGAGACTAGTTGAGAGATACAACAAACACATTCACATAATCACATCACATAAAATTTTTGCTTCTTTTTTTTTTAGTAAACATCTTTTTGATAGTCAGGTTCACAGAACTCTCCTCCAAGATCATCACAAGCCTCTGCGGGGAAAACTCTGTTTCCATGTCCAAAAACACACACAACAATTAGAAGATATGAAAACACAAGCTGAGTTAAGTAAGGAAAGGTGTTAAAAGACGTGATCATTACGTTTTGGGGTTGTTGTTATACTCTAGGTATTCTCGGTCTACAGGCTCTGAAGCGACAGGACGTGAGACTTGCTTTGTTTCAAGTTTGACTTCAGGGTAAATGTCAGCAGAGCAGGCGTAACCGCTGATTACTTCACATGCTTCAGCTGGGAAAACACTGAGAGCATAGAGATGTTATTAACTCAGTTGATAACAGAGAAACAAAAAGAAGAAGGGAAGTGGAAGGACTTACGAGAGGGGAGAGTCGTTGTAGTCTACTGTGAGTGGATCAGAGGTTGAAGGAGATGATGAGTTTGGTCTGTGTCTGAGAGTGGAGAGTCTTGAAGCTTTGGTGGTGGAGATGGTTTGAGGAAGAAGAGTGAGCTTTGGTGAACACAGAGGTAGAATAGTTGGTTTGATGCACAAAGCTCCCTGCATTTTTTTTGTGTAAAAAGATTAGTTTAGTGATTTGGTTCTGTTTTGGACAAGTTCATGCTAATACTTATAGCCAGAGCAGAGCAGATCCATTTTGTATTTTGGTGGCCAAAAAAAAATAGTAAATATAATTATACTGATTCAATAATTGATAATCCAACGGTAGAAAATCACGATCCAAACTTTATTTTAAAAGAAAAAATGAACAAAAAGTAGAGTTATCTATTAAAAGGATAAGGTTTGGAGATAACTTGTGACTTGTGAGAATGAAAATCACCCTCTTGGAAGATATTTTATCACAATATTTTTGGATCTTTCTGTGTTCTCTGAGTCAGCAAAATGATGTAAACTATGCGAGACACATTCATTACATGGATTCACAAAGCCAAAGTTTGAGTTTTACTTACTCACCACAGCACTCAACTTATTATACATACAAATTCATCAGTAGATGCATACATTGGTTGGTGGTTACTTGGATATGTCCCTGGTTCTCTTAACCGTATAGTCAAGGGGGTTACACTAACTTGATTAAAGACTAATAATGTATATACAGAGACCATCTCTGTTTTTGTTTTCTTTACTTCTGAGCTTCAGTCAACAGTAATGTTTTTTTTTAAACTAAAATTTTAAGGTTAATGTTTTTTGTTCCTTCTTGAGGTAAAGATCTGGAAAATAGATAGACCCACCATCATTTACAATTTCACCATCCAAAGAAGAAGAGTCTTTATCATTACATCTTTCTTCCCGACACAAAATCAGACCTAAACACGATTTTTGATCTGTTCAAAGACTGTCTATAGTTCTGTGTGCCAACAAAGGTTTTAGCAAAACTAGGGACAGTGATTACTAGAAAACAGAGCACTGAGTCAATGACAACAACAAAAATTCACACAGATTCCACTCTTTGCTTCCGTTATATCATCAATAAATAATTTTTTTACAAAGGTATATTTTCTGCACTCATTGTCAAAAAAATAATCTGCTGAAAATAACCTCCAAGGAAAGTAAAAAAGGAAAAATAATAATAAGAATTTCTCAGCTGTTGTTTGTACACTTAACACAAAACAGCTGATCTATCTTCATCCTCTTAAATGTAAAGATGATTCCCTTTTTTCATCACTTTGATTATTTAAAAAGCTGACTTCCAAGAGTAACAGTTGGATTACCTTCACCCATCACTGTTGTTAAGCTCACTTCCTTATCCAATATTCTCTCCAATTCTGTCACAACATAACTCATCATTGGTCTCTTCTCACTTGAAACATCAAGACATCTCAGTGTCAATGTAATAACCTCCTCCACTCCTTCTGCTGTGTATGTACCACCTAGTCTCTCATCAATTATTGTGGGCATATCCGTGTAATCCCTTATGTTTTGTATCTTCAATCAGTGCATACACAAGTCAGATTCAAAATACACTTCATTACTAACATTTTGTGATAGTGATTACATACCCATTCTACTAGAGTTTGTGTTGAGCTTGAAGGAGATGGTTCTGATGCTTCTCTTCCACTTACTAACTCCAAGAGGAATACTCCAAAAGCATAAACATCACTCTTCTCTGAAAATCTTCTGAACTCTTGAACCCTGAAACAGTGGGAAAGCCTTAGAAACTTGGTTACAAAATGTGATCCAAAAAGGTAAGAAGTTAGATTACTCTGGTGAGAGGAAGATCTGGTCTGCATCAAAGTGAGAAGATGTACCAACATCATCTTCTCTTCCCAAGAAGTTATGGACTCCTGCATCCGCAACTCTAGCAATGAAAGTTTCATCCACAAGAACATTAGCAGTTTTGAAGTCCTTGTGTATCAATCTAGGACTCAGTGAGTGAAGATGTGCCAAGCCTAGACATATATTAAAAAAAAGCTTATATACATGATCAAGACACAAGAAATCATTTGATTCAATGAGCAAGGCATTTGCAGATAATTATTTTACCTTTAGCTGCTCCTATAGATATGGCAAGCCTATTTCTGAACTCTAGTCTACTTCCACCAGCACCTAATCAAATAAAATATTTTAAAAGATGATTACATGATCTATACTAAACACACATTATTAAAACTGATTAGTTACCAAATAAAGGACAGAGAGTTACCGTACAGGTGACTAGAAACACTTCCATTAGAAACATACTGATAGACAAGAAACTGTGTGTTATTCTCTTGGCAATAACCCAAAAGAGTAACAAGATTTCGATGATTGATAGACGATAGATAACGAACCTGGAACCAAAAAAATATACAATGTAAGCTTCTTCAAAACACTTTATTCTAAGTTGATAAACCAAACACTGACCTCGTTAACAAACTCTTGTGTAGGCAAACCGGGACGTTTCTTGATGGCTACAAGAACACCATCTTGAAGCAAACCTTTGTAAACCTCTCCGAATTTTCCTATACCAATAAGGTTTTTGTTGGTGAAACTATTGGTGGCTTGAGCAAGTTCCTCCAATTTAAACCTTCTTGCTTCTCTCATTGACAAGTCAATTGCAACACTTCTTCCTTGAGTTGATGATGGATCAGAGGAGCCTGACTCTGAAGTTCTTGATGCATTCTTGCGACGAAAGATGCAAAACCATATGAGCAAAACTAAGAGAGCAATCAATGCAAGAGCTCCAACAGCAGCTCCAGTGACTGCTGCTAGAGGAATGTCTGACATTTGCAAATTAAATGGCTTCTTAACGATGCTCCAAATTTTGACTACCATGCGATAAACCTAAGACAAAAAAAAATAAAGACGATTATAAGAAAAAGACAGGACAAAACGAAAAGTAAATACATACATCATTTTAATCAATCAAACAAACATGCAGTAAATAAGAAACTTGAAATAACATTTCACTGAAAAACATTGATAGATCTAAAGGAAAAAAATATATATTTACTTCATAACCGATTACATATCACAAAAGAAATCAAGAAGATTTGGTGTGAAGATGTTGAAAAGAGAGAGTTCAAAGAAGAAGAAGAAGATGAGGTTTGAAACATCAAATCTTATCTCCGCCGCAGTTTCTAGAACTCGAAGGTGAAGGGTAGAAGTAGAAGTATAAGAAGAAGAAAGGAAGGCTTGTGTCGGAACGCAGACAATGCCGACAGAAAGTGACATCGCGCAGACAACAACTATCTCTCTCTTAAGACTGAACCAATAACAACAATCAAAACTATTTACTAGTACTGTTTTTTTTTAATGACTTTCGAACTGACATTATCATTCAGTAATTTTTACTCTTCTCCAACAACTAAACCCATTGTAGATGAATAAAGAGAGAGAACCTTTGAAGACACGATAAGCAAGTACTGTGTCACTACACGTTTTCAAGAAAGAAATGAAACATTTATAAAATATGCTTCTACAAGTTTATATACTCAAAAACATAAAACCACTTTCCTAAACTATGATATTAGAGTCAATCACTAAAGGAATTTTAAAATAAATACTAACACAATCAATAATGTCCATGATCAACGTGATTGGTATAACTTCCTTATACCTTATAGTTCTTGATTAGTTTTTATTTATTTTTAGGAAAGGGCTTCCTTATAGTTCTTAGATTATGTTTTCATTTGTAAAATCTTTCATAATGATCAGTCTTAGAACATCTCCATATAAATCTATATATTTTTTATTTAAAATAATAATATGTATTATAAAGTTAGATTTGCTCTAATAGAATTCTTCTATATAAAAGAAAAATAGAAAAGAAATCTATTTTTTGTCTTTACATTTGGAGATGAAGATAATATTTTTGATATATTTTCCTTAAATTAGAGAAATTATATTATATAATCATACATTAGAGAAAAATCCACATTTATAATAAAAATTCTCTAATTTATAAAAAAATATAAAGATAAAAATAGAGATGGACTAGTGATGGTTGTTTCATCCACAGCAAAAGTGAAAGAGAACAAACTCACACACTCGCACCACTCTGTCTCTTGTTTTTTTGCTCCTCAAATCTCGCTGTTTTTTAATTTCTTTCCTTTCTCACATATTTCTTTAGTATCTTTTTTCACACGAATTAATAAGCAACCAATGACAGATGGACATTATTATCATCAATATAGGATTATAGGATTTTCTGTTAATAAATGTAATTGGTTCACACTGTTTGTCCTCCAAAAAAATAACTCGAATCACTGTTTGTGTCGTTCACAATAATAGATCATGTCTTTCCTATTGATATAGATTTTTTTAATTAAATTCTCATTTAATATTTAACTGATATACAGCTAATATTAATTTTATTGATAAAAACGGTAGTATGTTTTATAAACCCGAGGTTAGATAATTTTAAAATTAAAAGTATTATGATTTCTACATTTTTTTGACTTTAATCAAACTTTTTGCTCAAATAATTTCACCAGTACTGTTATAGTTATTCTGCATAGTTTAAAATATTATATTAAAATTTAGAATGTTACTAATTAAGACTTGAACGCAACCACTATAATCGAAAATATAATTTGTACAGCTAATTTTAATTTTATTGATAAAAACGATAACATCCGTATTATTAAATCAGGTTTTATAAAACCAATGTTAGATCATTTTAAAATCAAAAGTGTTATGACATTCTACATTTTTGAGTTTATTCAAACTTTTTTGTTCAATAATTTTTCCAGTATTGTTAAAGTTATAATTCTGAGTAGTTAAAAAAATTATTATATTAAAATTTAGAATGTTACTAAATTAAAATTTATAATTTGTTTACATGTTTTAAAGTATGAACTACTGGTGTCTTTACTGGTACTATAACCTCTAAATACTGATTAGAAAGCATATTAAGGAATTAATGTTGTTTATTAGTGACAAATAGGATATCCAGCGAACAAAACATTCATAAAATGTTCTTAACAAAATTAAAAAAAAAATCAACAAACTCATTTTAACGAAAAAAAAAAATAATAATAATAATTGGGAGTAGGACCACCACATTCTACATCGACAGGAGTACAAAATGTGGGGGTCAAAGGACCCACAAGCCAGCTGTATAGGCATTTGCTTCTACTCTCATGTACCCGTTTGTTACTGACGTCAACGTTTCAACTCACATTCCCCACGATCTGCGTTTCCCGCTTATCTATACATTAATCTGCGTTTAAATGTCTGTCTTTTTTTGGTCAAAGCGTTTAAATGTCTGTCTTGACTTTTATTTTGCTGGATTTATTTCTCTCTTTACTATTTTATAAAAAATTTAAACTGATTTTTTTCTGGAAAGAGACCAATGATTGAAGCGGCGGTCGTGGTTCTCATGAACGAATCATACAAATTGGAAATGATTGAAAGAGAATATAACTGGAAATTAAAAAAAAAAACATAGTTTGCACCAATCATGTTTTTCTATTTTTAAGCCCATATTAAGCCCAATCAGTTTTAAATCAATCTTATTCATGACATGTGGCCTTTATAGCCAATTTCTTGACGCTATTCAGTATTTCGGAATCGTTTGTTAATTCAGAAGTTTTCTCCTTAAGAGCATCTATAACTTCAAATATGAAGTTTTTATCTCTCCAAAAAGGAACTCTAAAACTTCAAATTTGAAGTTTTGAGTAGTGAAACTTCAAATATAGAGTGTCACTATTCAAAACTTCAAATTTGAAGTTTCATATTTTATTTTCATTTTGGTCCTTACAATTTCACATCATATTTATAATAATTTTCAATATTTTATTTTTATCATGTTAATCTTTAAAAATTCTTATTTCATAAATAACTTCAAATATGTTAATCTTTAAAAATTCTTTTTTTTAAAAACATCAAGATAATCTTTAAAATATTTTAAAACTAGAACTAGATAACAACAATATTACATGCTATAATATGGTATTTTGTTTGTACTTTAATATTTAATTATATATTTCTATTTAGAGTTTTATATTTTAGTGTAACATTTTATCAAAAAATATTTTTATAATATTTTAATACATGATAGTTATTTAAAAAATGTTTTATGAATTTGAATTAGTTATGACAAATATAAGGACCATTTTATAAAATATAAATAGTTTTAAAGTTAGGTTTGAAGTTTTACTTTTGGAGTATAACACCTTCAAACTTCAAATATAGAGTTTTGCAAACTCTATAATAGAGAGTCTTTTTGGAGATGCTCTAAGTACCAAATATCTGTTCTTAAGATTCCATTGAACAGAAAAAAAAAACAGTACACCAGTACTAAATTACATCTATGTATGTATTATTATTACAAATCCATAACTCACGGCTACAACTATTAAGTCTTAACCGATATCGAGAAGCAGAATGTAAAACACATGAGACAAATTTTGATGTCAAAAGCTACATACACATCACTTCCAGTTGTTGGCAACAATGTCAGCCAAATCAACAACTTTCTGTGAGTAACCCCATTCATTATCATACCAAGTAATCACCTTAACCATATCATCTCACATAACCATAGTGAGTGAAGAATCAATGGTCGAGGACACATTTATATCTAATTGAATTTCAAAATAGCCAAACAGATTTATATCTCTAGAACTAAAAACCCGAAAACAATTTTGGCCTAGTTTCATTGATCTGAAAGAACGAAAAAGGAAGCAGAACTAGAACCGTTGCATACCGAACTTTTGGCCAAGAACTTTGAAAAAGGGAGTAAGACAGTTAGTAGTGCAAAGAGGCATTGCTGATGATCGGTTCATCAGGATTGTAAGCATTTGCATTAACACCAACAACGTAAGTTGGGATGTCTCCTTTCCCCGGAGTTGTAATGATAACCTTCTTAGCTCCAGCTTCAATGTGTTTCCCTGCACCCTCTCTCTGCCTTTCAAAGTTCATACATACACAAGGAGAGCAGAGTTTACTCTGAAACTTACTAATAACCCAAAGAGAACAAAGATTCCATTGCTTAAACTTCTGTCTGAACAGGAACCCTTCTCATACATTTAACCATATTGTTTCAGAATCACACAAGAGACAGACATGAAATCACGTAGAACATTACAAAGACAACACAGAGACAGTAAAAAGTAAAAGACAAACATAACTTCAAATCCTTCTTTATACCACATTTCTTCTCCCATTTTAATCAGAATCTTCATACACTTCACCATCTGATAACTCATCAAAAGTCCTCATATCAAGCTGGTACCTCAACAACCCACCAATCCCACCAAAACCTCTACAGAACTGCGACCCTTCTTGTGACTTATTAGTCACAAACTCAAGCGTACAACCAAAACGTTTATACTCATTAGCAAACCATTCAAGCAGAGGCATCTTCTCCACAACTTCCAACTCCGCATTGCTCTCCGCATCATGGAAATTCCCTTGATCATTCTCCTGATTCTTCCCCAAATGCTTAATCACTATCTCCCCTGTGGTGTTGTTCTTCAACTCATACCTATTGATATCAAGATTCTCCCACACAATAAGTGTCTCAACAGCACCCATGTCTAACGCCTTTAAAGTATCATCAACCCCAAAAACATACTTCCCTGTGTCTTGACTAATCTCCTCAAAGTACTTCCCAATCAACTTCTTCTCCTGAATAAACTTCACGTTTGACAAAATCTCCGCAGAGAGCTCAATAGCCTGGTTGAAACCATTCTCCCCTCCGTAAGAAACATCAACCACATTCAATATCTTAGCCTGAAGACGAGGATCAAACAACTCAGACTGACTCAACTCCGTCTTGAAATCCGCCGAGCCAGCGAGTATCAAACCAGAGACATTAGGCTGACTCGTAGCTGGATTGATATAAAACTGTGTAGCAAGCTCAGCTGTTTTCCTCACATAGTTATGCCTCTTCTCCATCCTAAGCCTAGCAAACCGCAACGCAGACTGTCCTCCTCTCCCATGCTTCTTAGGCAAATCAACAGTAAACTTATGCAAAACCTCTCTTGTATTCCCACTCAACGTCCCAAACAAAGTCCCGTTCCCATCCATCACAATAAACCCAAACTTATCATCACTCTCCAAAAGCTCATTCAAAGGCTCAGTGTGGAACTTATTATCACAAAGATACAAAGAGGCGTTGATGGGTTTAAAAGGCTCAAAGTCTATAGTGACTTTCTTCTCTTTACCGTCGTCTGTGACGATGGTGCCTGTGTAGAGGACGAGGCCGTTTGGTGGGACTTTGTTGTAAAGTTTGAGTCTTTGCTGTGCTGAAGTGATGGCGGAGAGGACTGATTGGCGGTTGACTCGGGACTTGATGTTTGAAGCGGTTCCGTATTCGTCGGCGAGCATCTTGGTGACACGTGCCACTTGGTCACGTGGCGGCATTATGAGTGAGATCATGCTTGTTCCGTTGCCTCTTGCGGATTCTAGGCCTTTGATTAGTTTCTTGATTTTCCAGATCTCGATGTTCTTGTCTGATTCTTGTTCTGCCATTGTCTGAAATTTGAAAAATAACAGAAAGATTGAAACTTTTAGGACAGTGAGGATTAGGTTCTGTTTCGTGGTCTGAAATTGAGTAAATGAGGGAAGTGGGGTTTGATTGATTCTAAGCAAGACCCAGATTGAGATTTACGGAAAGATTGAAACTTTTAGGACAGTGAGGATTAGGTTCTGTTTTGTGGTCTGAAATTGAGTAAATGAGGGAAGTGGGGTTTGATTGATCTGAGCAAGACCCAGATTGAGATTTACGGAAAGATTGAAACTTTAGGACAGTAAGGATTAGGTTCTGTTTCGTGGTCTGAAATTGAGTAAATGAGGAAAGTGGGGTTTGATTGATTCTGAGCAAGACCCAGACTGAGATTTTACGGAAAGATCGAAACTTTGAGATTGATTTGATGCGGGGAGAGAGAGAGAGATGGAACGTACCTGAATCAGCGAATCTGGTCACTCTTGCAGCAGCTTCTCGACCCAGGAATGGGATCTTGTTTAGGGCTTATCACTCTATCTGGTTTCCCAACGAACACGTGAGCTTCACGTGAAGGCATGCAGTAAAACTTTGAGTCTGTTATTTTGTTTTTACCGCGAGACGGAGGATCGACTTCTCAGAGCAGGATTAATGGGAGAAAAGGAGTGCTTAGGAGAGATTTTAGAGGAGGGGACCCACACAAAACACAAAATCTGGTGCTTCTGGTGCCAAAAGAAGCGTCCCTTTTCGTGTGATGCTTGCAGTGTGCGCGGGCCCATCAACACGTGGCGGCCCGCAATTCGTTCTCTTTCAATAGGACGAAAATTTTTAAAAAAAAAGAAAATTAAAAAAATAAGCACCCCACTAAAAACTGATGCGTTGATCATGCTCTCAGTGTTTTACAGTAGTTCCAAGTTTCCAACTTGGGATGAAAAATATTATTTTCTAATAATTATAAAATTTGCAGAAGTTTGTAAAATACTATGGAAACTAGAAATCAAGAATGATTATCTATTCCTCTAACACAAGAAAATTATTGTCATCTTTAATATTTTAACGCAAGAGGGTCAATATTAAGAATATGGCAAAAGAAGACAAAAATTTAGAGGTGGGTGTTTGGTGAGTTAATAATGATTAGACCATCTCCAATGTATTACTTCATTTTCTACTCCAAAATGGAGTAATTCTAAAATGCAGTTGAGTTTTACTCCAATGTATTACTCTATCTTCCACGCCAAAAAATATTTCTAATATATTATGTCTTATATTTTTTATTTTAAAATTAGTAATATCACCTTTCATTTATACTATTTGCAAAATAGTCAATTTTCAATTTATAGCATTTCTATTAAATATAATATTAACAACAATTAAATTTTTATTATATAAATAAAATTACTCAACCAAGTTTTAAACGAAAACATTTACTACATTAAAAATTACATTACATAGCTTAAACACAATAATAGATCAATTCTAAATTATTCGTTAGAATTATAATAATTTTCTCACAAATGATCAACTAATGCATTTTGAAGTCAAAAATAATCTTATTTATCTTTGATTTTTCTGAAACGGGAATGAAACTCTTGGAACCTCACATCCTTCAGTTTCAACTTCCCTATGTAGAACTTCTCTTTCAACTTCAATTGGCTCTTCGAGATCACAATCATCTTATATTATCATGTTATGTAAGAATTTAATAATATGTTATCCAATTATTTTAAAAAATTTATTGGATCCGGAAATATTTTATCGGATTATTAAACAAATATCTTTGTTGTAAGTTTTATTTTGTGTTATTTCTTTTGTATGATGCTTATCTTTTATTTTCTATATGTATGATCTTTTATGTTTTATATTATATATATTTTGTTGCATAAAAGAGTTCATCATGTGGCTATTTATATAATTAAGAAACAATAACAGTAAATTTTATAATATATATAGTAAAATAATATTTATATACTTATTTATAATAATATTATTAAAAACAAGGCTATTTATATAATTAAGAAATATTCATAGTATATATAGTAAAATAATATTAATATACTTATTCATAATAATATTTTATTAAAAGTGAGGCTATTTATATAATTAAGAAATGTTAAAAGTAAATTTTATAATATATATAGTACAATAATATTAATATATTTATTTATAATAATATTTTATTAAAAACTAAAAATATATAAATGTGGAGGACCATTTTATAAATAAAAAAGTTCAACTCCATTTTGGAGTAATGAGTTGGTTTACTCCATATTTAGAGTAATCATGTTTGTTACTTCATTTTGGAGTGGATTTGGAGTAGGATTAGATATGATTTTACTGCAAAATAAAGTTTGGAGTGGGGTTTGAGATGTTCTTATGACTTATTGATTCAAACCTAAATTGTCGAATTGAAGCTAATAACTTAGTTTAGAGGACTTTCAATTTTCTTTTATAGTTGACTAATTCCAAAATGAAACTGTGTTTTCTACTCCATTTCAAAGTAAAAATAATGAAATAATCAAAATAATAATTATGTTGAAATAATTCCATTTCTTTTCTTTTATAATGAAAATAAGATAAAATAGAGAAAAATTTACCTTAAAATAGAGTTTGAACTAAAAAGAATGGAATGTGATTACAATATTTTTTCTGAAATAACAAAAAGAAGGTTGGAGATGCTCACTACACCACTACTTCCTACTTTAGCTAATTCATTTAAATCTAAATTATAGCTGAAAACACCAGAAAATTTGAAATCACACAGAGCAAAGCTAGTTTTATTACCTTTTAAATATGTGTGTTGTCATTTTACTTACAATGCAGGATTGATCATTCAAATGATCACAAAACCAGAGATTCCTTTTTGCTTTTGCTCTTTCCCTGTAATATAATCTAACAATGAAGTTTCTTTCTGTACCACAACCCAAACAAACTGTAACCCTTGTTCACTTTCAAGGACCAGCATAAGACAACATCTGACTATGACTTCCTGCATTGTACAAACTTAGCTGATAAATCGCCTTCGAAACAAGCTCTCTCAACTCCGGATTCTGCAGACTCGCCAACCGTTCTGCCCCTTCCAACACAGTCAAAACCTTAGCCTGTTCCAACTGCTCATGGTTACTAGCATTCATCGAAAGGTAACACAGCAGAACAAGACATTGTAACTGCACTTGCTGCTCAAAGTTCCTTATCATCTTCATCAGCAACGGCACCGCCCCATACTCTATTATGTTCTTTGAATGCTCTGCGCATAAGAAATTCTCAGGACACACAAACTTCTGTAATGAAATCACAGCTGTTATCGCCACTTCTTGGTTGCTACTACCTAACTTCTCCACCAAGGGCTGTATCATTCTCGTCTCTCTCGCCGGAAACGTCCTGGCTAACGACCCTATAGACTGAATCGCCGGTATTTTCAAAACCGGGCTATCGATTTCTTTGATTATCCATAACATCTGGTCTATAACAGCTTTAGCAGCAGGTGAATTAGTCTTGAAAGCAGCTCTTCTAAGGTCAGCATTAGACTCAGCAGCAGAGGTTATCTCCATCAAAGTCATTAAACAATTATACTGCAACTCTCCAACTTCTTTCTCAACAATCTTAGCCAAAGTAAGCAACCCTTTCGTCTCCGTTATCCTCCTACTATTCGCTACATTCCCTCTAGCAAGCATCCACAAAGCCTCCGCGCAGTTAACCTTAAGCTCATGTTTCACTTCAGGACTCTCATTATCCCTCTCCTTCTTCAAATTCCCTGTCCTACTACTCCCACTCCCACTCCCACCACCAATCTCACTATACACATTAGACTTCAAACTCTTATAAGGCTTGTAAACTTCTCTATTCATCTGAACAAGAGAGTGAATACTACTATGCTTATTACCACCACTAGGTTCAAGATCATCCACAAAGACATCAAGCGAAAGCAACGTCACCAGAGGCTTAATCACACTCTGTCTAGCGAACTCCTCTTGCGCCACAGCATCGAACTCAGCCATCCTCGCCACCAATGTAGCTACCTTAATCTGAACCCTAACGGGAGAATCACCAAGAACTTGAACTATAACCGCCACACCAAGCTCATTAACTATACACCTAACCTTATCCTCATCACAAGCTAAAAAAGTTAACACCGTAGCAGCAGAGACTTGCCCTTCCGTCGACGAACCACCATCCTTAAGCAACCTCAACAAAGGAGCCACACCTCCTTCATCAACAATAATCTTCTTATTCCTATCGTTATCTCCCGCAAGAGAGCCAAGCTGATTCGCGGCATCGATCTTATCCACAACCTTCCCCATCTGCACAGCCCCAACGAGAGACCAAACCCAAGGGAGTATCGGATCATTAGTAGCAATAGGAGGAAGCGAGATAACAATCCCACCTCCGTCACCGTCACCACCGTCGAAAACACTCAGCAACCACTTAACGTCGCCGTTAGAAGACTCCAAAAAGGTCAAGACTTTACGGAAATCCGCGGCGTTTATGATCGTGCAGACACGTCGGAGGAGGTTGTGGCGACGGCACTTGCGGACGAGAGACAGAGCCCTGTCGAGATTCTTCCTCACGTCGACGATGACTCGACGAATCGGGCGTTCGTAGACTTGTTGAGAGGAGGAGACGAGGCGGACGATGGTCCTTAGCATCTGAGCGAGGCGATCGGCTTGTTTGCCGACCTCGCCGCACTCTGTTTTGAAGGACTTGGCTTCGTCGACGGAGACGCGGAGGCGCTCGGCGGTTATGAGGGAGTGTGAGAGCTCGTCTCCGATTCGGCTCTCTTCTTCCATTTTATTATTAATAAAGGTGGAGCCTTTCTTTATCGATGAATCGAAAGATTTGATTTTGGAAGGGGGAGACTAGTGGGAAGACTGTTGTGTTTTTATTATCGTCGTCTTTCTAGTGGGGAAGGTGTTTCGTGGAAAACTAGTCAAGTTCCGTTTTTTTCTTTTTTATGTTTTTTTTTTTGTACGGTTTTGGGTTTTGAGCGGCGCGTGAAGTGCACGGCTTTTCTGTGGTGTTTTTAGGTGAATAGTTAATGCGTTGGAAAAGAAAGGGAGAAAGCGTTTATGATGTTAATGGACGCCCGTGTGGTGGTGTGTAGTTCGAGATTTAACAGACACTAGATTTTGACCCGCGCTTCAAAAGCGCGGGTTTTTGTTAAATTATAAACAAATTTTGATATGATTTAGTATTTTAGAAATGATGTACATTCTTAGGCTACAAATCTTAATATATAAAATAGATTTTTTTGAAAATTATGTAATTTATAAATTAGTTTATTTGAGATTTTATATGTAAGTTTTTAATGTAACTCTCTCTAGGTCTTGACATTTTATCCGGATCGAAAAACACGACCAAACCGACCCGAAAATATAGGTTCGGCTAGGATCCATGATAAAGTACTTACTGGC